CAAAGTGTATTTCGAAGAAAAGCCTCAAATAAAACGTTTCCGTCACGAAAAAGCCTCGAAACAAAACTCATTTGGACGAAAAGCCTCAAATAAAACGTTTCCGTCACGAAAAAGCCTCGAACCAAAGTGTATTTTGAAGAAAAGCCTCAAATAAAACGTTTCCGTCACGAAAAAGCCTCGAAACAAAACGCATTTGGACGAAAAGCCTCAAATAAAACGTTTCCGTCACGAAAAAGCCTCGAACCAAAGTGTATTTTGAAGAAAAGCCTCAAATAAAGCGTTTCCGTCACGAAAAAGCCTCGAAACAAAACGCATTTGGACGAAAAGCCTCAAATAAAACGTTTCCGTCACGAAAAAGCCTCGAACCAAAGTGTATTTTGAAGAAAAGCCTAAAATAAAACGTTTCCGTCACGAAAAAGCCTCGAAACAAAACGCATTTGGACGAAAAGCCTCAAATAAAACGTTTCCGTCACGAAAAAGCCTCGAACCAAAGTGTATTTTGAAGAAAAGCCTCAAATAAAACGTTTCCGTCACGAAAAAGCCTCGAAACAAAACGCATTTGGACGAAAAGCCTCAAATAAAACGTTTCCGTCACGAAAAAGCCTCGAACCAAAGTGTATTTTGAAGAAAAGCCTCAAATAAAACGTTTCCGTCACGAAAAAGCCTCGAAACAAAACGCATTTGGACGAAAAGCCTCAAATAAAACGTTTCCGTCACGAAAAAGCCTCGAAACAAAACGCATTTGGACGAAAAGCCTCAAATAAAACGTTTCCGTCACGAAAAAGCCTCGAAACAAAGTGTATTTTGAAGAAAAGCCTCAAATAAAACGTTTCCGTCACGAAAAAGCCTCGAAACAAAACGCATTTGGACGAAAAGCCTCAAATAAAACGTTTCCGTCACGAAAAAGCCTCGAACCAAAGTGTATTTTGAAGAAAAGCCTCAAATAAAACGTTTCCGTCACGAAAAAGCCTCGAAACAAAACGCATTTGGACGAAAAGCCTCAAATAAAACGTTTCCGTCACGAAAAAGCCTCGAACCAAAGTGTATTTTGAAGAAAAGCCTCAAATACAGCGTTTCCGTCACGAAAAAGCCTCGAAACAAAACGCATTTGGACGAAAAGCCTCAAATAAAACGTTTCCGTCACGAAAAAGCCTCGAAACAAAGTGTATTTTGAAGAAAAGCCTCAAATAAAACGTTTCCGTCACGAAAAAGCCTCGAAACAAAACGCATTTGGACGAAAAGCCTCAAATATAACGTTTCCGTCACGAAAAAGCCTCGAACCAAAGTGTACTTTGAAGAAAAGCCTCAAATAAAACGTTTCCGTCACGAAAAAGCCTCGAAACAAAACGCATTTGGACGAAAAGCCTCAAATAAAACGTTTCCGTCACGAAAAAGCCTCGAACCAAAGTGTATTTTGAAGAAAAGCCTCAAATAAAACGTTTCCGTCACGAAAAAGCCTCGAAACAAAACGCATTTGGACGAAAAGCCTCAAATAAAACGTTTCCGTCACGAAAAAGCCTCGAACCAAAGTGTATTTTGAAGAAAAGCCTCAAATAAAACGTTTCCGTCACGAAAAAGCCTCGAAACAAAACGCATTTGGACGAAAAGCCTCAAATAAAACGTTTCCGTCACGAAAAAGCCTCGAACCAAAGTGTATTTTGAAGAAAAGCCTCAAATAAAGCGTTTCCGTCACGAAAAAGCCTCGAAACAAAACGCATTTGGACGAAAAGCCTCAAATAAAACGTTTCCGTCACGAAAAAGCCTCGAACCAAAGTGTATTTTGAAGAAAAGCCTAAAATAAAACGTTTCCGTCACGAAAAAGCCTCGAAACAAAACGCATTTGGACGAAAAGCCTCAAATAAAACGTTTCCGTCACGAAAAAGCCTCGAACCAAAGTGTATTTTGAAGAAAAGCCTCAAATAAAACGTTTCCGTCACGAAAAAGCCTCGAAACAAAACGCATTTGGACGAAAAGCCTCAAATAAAACGTTTCCGTCACGAAAAAGCCTCGAACCAAAGTGTATTTTGAAGAAAAGCCTCAAATAAAACGTTTCCGTCACGAAAAAGCCTCGAAACAAAACGCATTTGGACGAAAAGCCTCAAATAAAACGTTTCCGTCACGAAAAAGCCTCGAAACAAAACGCATTTGGACGAAAAGCCTCAAATAAAACGTTTCCGTCACGAAAAAGCCTCGAAACAAAGTGTATTTTGAAGAAAAGCCTCAAATAAAACGTTTCCGTCACGAAAAAGCCTCGAAACAAAACGCATTTGGACGAAAAGCCTCAAATAAAACGTTTCCGTCACGAAAAAGCCTCGAAACAAAACGCATTTGGACGAAAAGCCTCAAATAAAACGTTTCCGTCACGAAAAAGCCTCGAACCAAAGTGTATTTTGAAGAAAAGCCTCAAATAAAACGTTTCCGTCACGAAAAAGCCTCGAAACAAAACGCATTTGGACGAAAAGCCTCAAATAAAACGTTTCCGTCACGAAAAAGCCTCGAACCAAAGTGTATTTTGAAGAAAAGCCTCAAATAAAACGTTTCCGTCACGAAAAAGCCTCAAAAAAAAACGCATTTGGACGAAAAGCCTCAAATAAAACGTTTCCGTCACGAAAAAGCCTCGAAACAAAGTGTATTTTGAAGAAAAGCCTCAAATAAAACGTTTCCGTCACGAAAAAGCCTCGAAACAAAACGCATTTGGACGAAAAGCCTCAAATAAAACGTTTCCGTCACGAAAAAGCCTCGAAACAAAGTGTATTTTGAAGAAAAGCCTCAAATAAAACGTTTCCGTCACGAAAAAGCCTCGAAACAAAACGCATTTGGACGAAAAGCCTCAAATAAAACGTTTCCGTCACGAAAAAGCCTCGAAACAAAGTGTATTTTGAAGAAAAGCCTCAAATAAAACGTTTCCGTCACGAAAAAGCCTCGAAACAAAACGCATTTGGACGAAAAGCCTCAAATAAAACGTTTCCGTCACGAAAAAGCCTCGAAACAAAGTGTATTTTGAAGAAAAGCCTCAAATAAAACGTTTCCGTCACGAAAAAGCCTCGAAACAAAACGCATTTGGACGAAAAGCCTAAAATAAAACGTTTCCGTCACGAAAAAGCCTCGAAACAAAGTGTATTTTGAAGAAAAGCCTCAAATAAAACGTATCCGTCACGAAAAAGCCTCGAAACAAAACGCATTTGGACGAAAAGCCTCAAATAAAACGTTTCCGTCACGAAAAAGCCTCGAAACAAAGTGTATTTTGAAGAAAAGCCTCAAATAAAACGTTTCCGTCACGAAAAAGCCTCGAAACAAAACGCATTTGGACGAAAAGCCTCAAATAAAACGTTTCCGTCACGAAAAAGCCTCGAAACAAAACGCATTTGGACGAAAAGCCTCAAATAAAACGTTTCCGTCACGAAAAAGCCTCGAACCAAAGTGTATTTTGAAGAAAAGCCTCAAATAAAACGTTTCCGTCACGAAAAAACCTCGAAACAAAACGCATTTGGACGAAAAGCCTCAAATAAAACGTTTCCGTCACGAAAAAGCCTCGAAACAAAGTGTATTTTGAAGAAAAGCCTCAAGTAAAACGTTTCCGTCACGAAAAAGCCTCGAAACAAAACGCATTTGGACGAAAAGCCTCAAATAAAACGTTTCCGTCACGAAAAAGCCTCGAAACAAAGTGTATTTTGAAGAAAAGCCTCAAATAAAACGTTTCCGTCACGAAAAAGCCTCGAAACAAAACGCATTTGGACGAAAAGCCTCAAATAAAACGTTTCCGTCACAAAAAGCCTCGAAACATAGTGTATTTTGAAGAAAAGCCTCAAATAAAACGTTTCCGTCACGAAAAAGCCTCGAAACAAAACGCATTTGGACGAAAAGCCTCAAATAAAACGTTTACGTCACGAAAAAGCCTCGAAACAAAGTGTATTTCGAAGAAAAGCCTCAAATAAAACGTTTCCGTCACGAAAAAGCCTCGAAACAAAACGCATTTGGACGAAAAGCCTCAAATAAAACGTTTCCGTCACGAAAAAGCCTCGAAACAAAGTGTATTTTGAAGAAAAGCCTCAAATAAAACGTTTCCGCCACGATAAAGCCTCAAAACAAAACGCATTTGGACGAAAAGCCTCAAATAAAACGTTTCCGTCACGAAAAAGCCTCGAAACAAAGTGTATTTTGAAGAAAAGCCTCAAATAAAACGTTTCCGTCACGATAAAGCCTCGAAACAAAACGCATTTGGACGAAAAGCCTCAAATAAAACGTTTCCGTCACGAAAAAGCCTCGAAACAAAGTGTATTTTGAAGAAAAGCCTCAAATAAAACGTTTCCGCCACGAAAAAGCCTCGAAACAAAACGCATTTGGACGAAAAGCCTCAAATAAAACGTTTCCGTCACGAAAAAGCCTCGAAACAAAGTGTATTTTGAAGAAAAGCCTCAAATAAAACGTTTCCGTCACGAAAAAAAGCCTCAAATAAAGTGCTTTTTGATGAAAAGCCTCAAGAAATACGTTTTATACAGAAAAACCTCGAAACAAACCGTTTTTAGACAAAATATCTCGAAACAAAGCGTTGTTTGATATAAAAGCCTCAAACAAAACATTTCATACACAAAAAAGCCTCGAAACAAAGCGTTTCTAGTCAAAAAGCCGCAAATAAAAGTTTTATTCACAAAAAGCCTCGAAACAAAGCGTTTTTTGATAAAAAAAAAAAAAGCCTCTATTAAAACGTTTTGACGTGTCGCAAAAAGGTGGCGCATTTGTTTTTAAGGGTATCGCGTGAATGTAACTTTGATTCCCTGGATTATAAGATAATATTCTAATTAAAGTTATATATCATTTTGAAGCTGTTTCGATGAAGATTTTAGGTCAACTACACTCCGTTCACATTTTTTGCGCGTTCGTTTTTAAAAAAGAGTTTTTTACCAAAACATCTGGCAAATATCCCATGTTGACACGTTACATTTTGAATTATTTTTCGTCTTTAAACGCTCATAACTCAAACAATATATGACTATTATATACTTATTTTTCGTCTTGATAAAGGTAGATGAAAGTTTTATTTCAAAGGATGAATTTTAGTAAGCGTTCCATATTGTGACGTCATAGAGTCTGAAAAATATAATCTGTTGACAGCGACCTTTTTTGCTCATTTTTTGATACCTTCAACTTTTCAGGTGTACATTAAACAAAAAATATGAGATACCACTTTATCCCCAAGTATACGATTTGTACCTATACAGTAGAAAGTAAAATCAATTCCGTAGAGACTTGGCGCTGTCGTATCGCAAGCAGATTTAATTGTAGAACACTATCTCAATTTCCGAGGGGTAAGGTCACCATTTTTACTGAAATGATCAGTTATATTCCATAGTAATGTAAACACCTACAGTGTCACGGCTGTGATCATATGGAAGTGGTGTTATGGTCCATGTACTCTTAACACTCATTTTTTGTATTTTAGTTCAGCAGACTTCTAACATAGACCAATCGCTACCATGACAGGACACGGGTATGATGGCACGCATCTTTGCGTACGAGTGCGCGATCAGCGTTTTATATTTGTAGATCAAGCTTCGCAAGAACTTGTAGGCTACGTGAATGTGTTGAAATATGATCCTTCAGTGATTTTCCCATAGTACTATTTAATTGCTTGATTGAGTAAAGCAGTTGTAATTAGGGGAACAGTCAAATTACACGTTCACGTGCTACTTTTCTTAAAAACGTGTAGCTTTAACCTCCCTTCTGTTCTGTTTTTAGGCTATTGTGATGGAAGTATGACATATCTCTATGCATACGATTATAAATTAACCATCAGCTCACCAGGTTATCCCAATGCCGCCTATCCCGGGTAAGTTGCATTTAATATTTACAGGGAGGACCAAAAAATGATGTTTTTATTTTGCTAAAAACATTTACGATGCGTAGATTTCGATAATATTATTGAAGGGAATCGATCCCAAAATAGCGTATTTATGATTGTTAACAGTTAATGTTTTTACAGTGTTTTTAGTTTAGCCCCATATTACTCCAGTAAAACATCAAAAATTAATAAAAATTGCAGTACTTATTAAACCTAGTGCAACAAATGCATATTGTAAATTCTGAATATCAAAGAATCAGATTACTCAGATTCTTCAGAAAATTTAAAATCTACAAACCTTATTTCCTGATTTCTCAGATTTAACTTTCTCAGTTTTTACGGAAAATGCAAATTCTTAATAACCAGGAATCAGATTTCTCAGATTCAACAGATTCTACAGTTTTTACAGAAAATGTAGATTCTGCACATCCCGAAATCAGATTCAAAGGGTTCTACTTCTTAATTCAACAAGATATCAGATTTGTCAGATTCAACAGATTCAACAGATTCTACAGTTATTTACAGAATCTGAATATTCTGCACATCCCTAAATCAGATTTCTCAGATACAACAGATTCTTCAGTTTTAACAGAAAATGTAGATTCTGAATAACCAAGAATCAGATTTGTCAGATTTCGAGATTCTACAGTTTTTACAGAAAATGTAAATTCTGAATATCTAAGAATCAGATTTCTCAGATTCAACAGATTCTTCAGAAAATGCAAAATCTGCATCCAATGATCATTTACATCGTCTGACCATGGACAACAAAAGTAATGTTAAGTAAGAGAAATTTTTTTCATTATCATTGTTCATTAAAAGTGTAATCAAGATATTCAGAAAAAATTGTTAAATCTGTTGAATTTGATTCTGTGATTTACAGAATCTACATTTTCTGTAAAAACTAAAGAATCTATCGAATCTGAGAAATCTGATTTGTGTATGTGCAGAATATTCATTTTCTGTAAAAGCTGAAGAATCTCTTGAATCTGAGAAATCTGATTTGTGTATGTGCAGAATATTCATTTTCTGTAAAAACTGAAGAATATGTTGAATCAGAGGAATCTGATTTTGGGATGTACAGAATATTCATTTCTTTAAAAACAGAAGAATCTTTTGAATCAGAGGAATCTGATTTTGGGATGTATAGAATATTAATTTTCTGTAAAAACTTAAGCATATGTTGAATCTGACTAATCTGATTCTTTGTTCTACAGAATCTACATTTTCTGTAACAACTGAAGAATCTGTTGAATCTGAGAATTCTGATTTTGGGATGTGCAGAATATTCATTTTCTGTAAAAACTGTAGAATCTGTTGAATCAGAGGAATCTGATTTTGGGATGTACAGAATGAATTCATTTTCTGTAAAAACTGAAAAATATGTTGAATCTGAGAAATCTGATCCTTAGATGTTCAGAATTTATATTTTTTGTAAAAGGTATGGAATCTGTTAAATCTGACAAACCTGATTCTTGGTTATTCAGAATCTACATTTCTGTAAAAACTGTAGAATCTTTTGAATCTAAGAATTCTGATTTTGGGATGTGCAGAATATTCATTTTCTGTAAAAACTGAAGAATCTGTTGAATCTGAAGACTCTGATTTTGGGATGTACAGAATATTCATCTTCTGTAAAAACTGAAGAATCTGTTGCATCTGAAAAATCTGATTTGAGGATGTGCAGGATATTCATTTTCTGTAAAAACTGAAGAATCTGTTGATCTGATAAATTAGATTCTTGGATGTGCAGAATGTTCATTTTCTGTAAAAACTGAACAATCTGTTGAATCAGAGGATTATGATTTCGAGATGTACAGAATATTCATTTTCTGTAAAGACTGAAGAATCTGTTGATCTGATAAATCAGATTCTTGGATGTGCAGAATATTCATTTTCTGTAAAAACTGAACAATCTATTGAATCAGAGGATTATGATTTTGGTTTGTACAGGATATTCATTTTCTGTAAAGACTGAAGAATCTATTGAATCAGAGGATTATGATTTTGGTTTGTACAGGATATTCATTTTCTGTAAAGACTGAAGAACCTGTTGATCTGATAAATCAGATTCTTGGATGTGCAGAATATTCATTTTTCTGTAAAAACTAAAGAATCTATTGAATCAGAGGATTATGATTTTGGTTTGTACAGGATATTCATTTTCTGTAAAGACTGAAGAACCTGTTGATCTGATAAATCAGATTCTTGGATGTGCAGAATATTCATTTTTCTGTAAAAACTAAAGAATCTATTGAATCAGAGGAATCCGATATTGAGATGTAAAGAATATTCAATATCTGTAAAGACTGAAGAATCTGTTGCATCTGAGAAATCTGATTTGAGGATTCATTGGGGATGTGCAGAATATTATTTTTTTTAAAACTGAAGAATCTGTTGATCTGATAAATCAGATTCTTGGATGTGCAGATTATTCATTTTCTGTAAAAACTAAAGAATCTGTTGAATCTGAAGACTCTGATTTTGGTTTGTACAGAATATTCATTTTCTGTAAAAACTGAAGAATCTGTTGAATTTAGGAATCTGTTTTTCGAAAGTGCAGAATCCTCAAATTCGGTAAAAACTGTATAATCTGTTAAATCTGAGAAATCTGATTTTGGGATGTGCATAATATTCATTTTCTGTAATAACTGAAAAATCTGTTGAATCTGAGAAAACCGATTTTGGGATGTACATAATTTTAATTTTCTTTAAAAATGTAGATCTGAGAATTCTGATCCTGTGATAATCAGTATTTTCAGATTCTGTAAAAACTAAAGAACCTGTATGACAGAATTTTCAGATTTTTAAAAACTGAAAACAGAGCCATACTGGACAATGCTGAAAATCTAAGTAGTGGAAAACATGTAAAAATCGCTATTTGTACCCTCTGGTCTTATTTTATAAGGGGGTACTATGATAAGCATTTATATTTTCTGTTGAGTGCCTCCAATCACATCAATTTTCACGGGGATTATGCATCCATAGATAGTTAGTTTTCATAAAAGGTTTGAGCTTGATTGGTCAATTGGTTACCATGGCAATACAATTGCAAAATATTGTAAATATTAAGGATAAATCTATTGTTTCTCTCTGGTTGTCATTTTAATAGCATCTTTCTGTTTCACCTGAAACATGCTCTGATATTATGAGGCATATTCTGTGATCTGAACACATCAGATAGGAAGAGTGCGTAACATTAGAGAGATTTCGCACATAAGTGAAAGTACAACTTATACGTATACGTATACTTTAAAGGGTTATGTCGAACTATTATATTTACTAAAATCAATTTTAAATTGTAACATAACTATTCCCGTTATAGAAAAGCTCCATCAACAAGAGAATGTGGATGCACTGTCATCTGCACGTGTAGATTATGTACATTATAATTAAATGCTTGCTTCCGTGTCCTTGTAGTTGTAGTGTATTATAAACAAGATCCTTCAAAGTGAGTCATGATTCTTTAAAGTGAGTCATTACATAAACAAGTTGAATATTTCAATGTTTTCATGATCAGTATAAGTTCACTGAACTTACAAAACGGTATATTTACGTAGATGATAACGTATACAGTTGGATCTCCGTATAAAGATTTGCCTACATGTATGTGGAACAATTGACCGAAAGCATTTTTTGAAATTAATTGGCTGAGTGGGAACAGTATCCAATCAAATACTTTAACCATCAATTTGAAACACCAATCAAACCAGTAGGTTCTAGCAATTCCTGGAAACGACCCATTCAGTAGCTCAACAAATGACATACAGGGTGTTTCATAACGAGCATCTCCAAAAAGTCAATTTGAGAAGAGATGGGTCTATAAGATATGTACTATATATGAGCCTATTTTATTCTAGACAAACACATTTGGATCAACTAAACATGCTACAACTCAAAAGTAGTACCACGATAGCGAAATCTCTCTATTATCTCATGATTACGTAATCGTTTCTTTTGTGTGCAATTACGCAATTAGATAGCCGTCTCCCCATGCCAAAAATTGTAAATATGTTATATTTCATCTGATAAAATCTATAAAAACGTACACATGTTCTTTGGATATAAAGTGTGTCATTAAGTGTGATAGTTATCAGGGCTAAGAAGAAATTATGATATGTCATGGTTTATCAGGATGATTTTTGGCTATTTTTGCAAAACATCAGAGCGTATTGCAAAACTAGATATTTATGTGATCATTGTGAATTCTCTCTGTCTCTCTCTATGGTTTCAATGATTTTTGTGGTAATTATTCACTTGTTAATACTGTATAGAAATAGCCAAAAGTTGCCGTTTGCCAATCTACTTGGAAATGTATTAATCATGAGACGAGAACTTAGTATTTCCTTGCCATATTACATTAGATATAATACCAATTGCATTCAGCTCCGAATCATTAATATAGCATGCATCCAAAATTTCCATCATTCTTGAAAATATGGCAATATATTGCAGGACTAATATGCAGATCACTATTATGCATATTAACATACATGTCTTATGTAAATAATGCTAGTATAGCAGAAATATGGCAATACATACAATATGTCATCATTAATATCAAAAACATTTCAAAATTACCTAAACATTGGTTGAAAAAAATATAATTATGACATCACAATAAATATGCAAATTAGCAAATTGACATTTCTTGTTAATTATGAACAGGAGGCCTAAATAGCTTAATTTTGGTATATATATATCATTAAAATCGGACCAAGAACATTTGTACTATGTTCAAAAATATGATTTGCTAAATTTTAAATGTTGCCATGGAAACGGCTGTTTTTAGCATTTTTCAAAGCTTCCAGCCAATTTATTTCGAACTCAAAAGATGAAATTTAGTTATGTCTACCAATACATTTCAATTTGCATATTTTCTTGTTTATAAACAAGGGGACATCAATAGCTTCAATTTGATATATCGCTGTTCAAGAGCCAAAGTGTTCTATGTCACTTTTTGGACAAAATGAGATAAATGTGGATTCCCCTTAATTTGACGATGCTCTTTCCATCTAGCATGGTCTCAAGTGTGAAATATAGCTGTAAACATGTGATTTTCAGTATTCAATTGTTCTATGTCTGAAAAAACAGTTATCCCAAATGAATTAAATTATCCTATGTCAAGATCTCAGAAAACTGTAAAAGTTGATTAATTAAATTTGTTCTATCTCATCCAGCAAAAGGGGGAGTAGCAGAGAAAACAAACAAAATTGAAAAAGAGAGTGTAGAAAGATGAGTGATTTAACAGAACTGAACGTACCACACAGAGATTTTGATCTTAAAACATAGAATGACATCTACAAGAAGAATTAACTTGTAATTTACTTAATTTTTTAATAATGAAAGGACCCACGGTCCTGTGCTCACACAGTTTGGAACCTTCAGAGGAATGTATATCCTGACTTTCAAACCAAAATATTGATTTGGATTTGTAGTCTCGAACTTTGAGAAACTTAGATAGCACAGTTGTGTGACCCTAGTTTGATGACCTTTGACCTTGAAAATTTTACTTAGTCAGAGCTCAGTAAGGTCTTTTGTGATTAAGCTGACCAAAATTTACAACAAATTTTGACCTTTCGAAGGTCACTGAAGGTCAAGTAAAGGTCAAATCCTAAAACTAATGTCAGATTTGAACACCTGGCAACTTGTAGATGATTTTCAAAAAAGAATTTGGTCAAATTGAATCAAGTTGAAAAATAACTTATTTTACTGTTTTTTGACGTCAAATATCTCAAAAACGGTAAAAATTTGATGCTTACATATATTAAGCAATATGTAGGGTATGCTTAAATCTAGTAATAATGTAATTCATTGCAAGAAATGATCAAGTATAAGGCAAACTTTGAGAAACTTGTCAATCACAAAACCTGCCATTGACTTTATACATGAGAAAGTTTCCTGAAAATGAATAAGTCCTACTTTTTGTCAAATTTTATAGAGTAAACACCAAAAACTGTAATTCCAAGAGCTTTGAAATCTTCAGAGGACATAAGCTGCATATAAAGCAACTACTGCAAGTTATTTGAAAGTTCTTCTTCAACAAAGTGTCTAGTATTTACCAAAAATTTGACTTTTTGACGTCAAAATCAGCAATTTCTCGGAAACCGGGCGAACTTGGGAAATGGCAATGATAGGTCAAATAGGCATTATGGATATGCATAAAATGAATGTGGTTATGACTCAATCTGAATAGCAGTTTTTAATTTGTGCGGCCAATGTTGGCAGACGAACGGACCAACGGACGGACGGATCAACGGGCGGACGGACCAACGGACGGATGCCTGGTCGCTCCATAGGCTCACTGTGTGAGCCAAAAATTACTTGTACGACATAATGTTAATTAAGTGTGATATAACTTACCAAATACATAACGTACCAAAAGAGATCTTTAACTTAGGACATAAAGTGAAAACAACAAAAAAATTACTTGTAATTTACTTAATTTAAAAAAACTTTACTTGTAAGACATAAAAATGACAGATAGCTGGAGTAGTTGATGAAGTCTCAGATATTGATAATGATATCTTAAAGTCTTCTAATTAATGATATCTTTTATTTTTCAACATAAAGTCTAATATCTATGTGTGTTTTTTCTCAGAGTACTGTTTATTTTGTATTTTAGATTGTAATCTTACGTAACTGTGTGAACGAAATTATTGATAATGTAAAAGTAGGAAAAAGTTACAATAAAAACATTGAAAACTCAAGCACAAATGAAAGAAAAATGAGCAGACAGCTTGGGATGGACAATCGCTTCCAAGGAACTTTGCAGCAAACGAGGGAGTAGCAGAGAAAACAAAAAAAGTAAAAGACAAAAGAGGATGCGAAGAAAGTGTAGAAAAATTAGTGATTTAATAGAAATGAATGTACCAAACAGAGATTTTTAACTTAGATCATAAAATGACAACCACAAGAAGACATAATGTTAATTTAGTGTGATAATATAACTGAGCAATAAAAATGACAAGTTGCTGATGTAATTGATGATGTCCCAGATAATGATATTTTATATATAAAATGATATCTTTTATTTTGTATTTTAGATTGTAATTTTACATTGTCTGAACCAAATTATGGTGTCATAAAATGTTCAAATTGTGTAATTGTTCTATCTCAATTCCCATTTGTCCTAAGTCAGCTTTTCTAAAAAAAAATGACTCAAATTGTTCTATCTCCACTTGTCATGTTTTTAAAAAACATACTTAAACTAATCAAATAATTCCCATTTTTTTGCCATATCAGAGATCATATTAATATAAATCAGTTGTAGAAACATCAAAAAGCTGGGTTCCATACAAAAAAAGTTATTAAGTATCAAACTTTAAAACTTGATTTCCCAAAAGTCATGTTTTTTGAAATAGAACACTTTGGCTCTTGAACAGCGATATCATTAGAATTGGACAGATAACAGGCGTTCTATGATCCAAAAGGTGATTTCTGATTTATTGATTATATTTTAAATGGTTGCTATGGAAACGGGTGTTTTTGCAATTTTTGCCCCAAATTCAAACTTAGGTACAGGTGGATTTGAAATGCTGAAGTCCTTAGCTTTACAACGATACCTCATTTGTCCTTTTCCCCTTCGTGTATATTAATCACAATTTTCAGACCTCCATTCTACTAGCCTATAATTTATGTATTAAAACACAGTCACTAGACTTTTTAAATGGTATCGTGTTTTTATGTCGACAATCCCCAAATGATCCCATTTATTATTGTGACACTACCAAAGGATCCATTTATCATACATCACTATACCAAGTCTACTGAAATCGGTGTTCGTATTTGGTACTTTCAAAACACAGCAATCGGCGTCAATTAAACTTGGGTCATCTAACTGAAACGCCTCGTAGTATTTTTTCTTTTTAGTGTTGAAGAACTCGACCTGACCAGCGTTCTCTGGAATACCTTTCCTATTACGTCCACCGAAAAGAAATATGTTCTTGCCGAGAAAGACGCCCCCGGCGTTGCTCCTATTATGCATGATATGCGGGTGCATTGTATTCCAAGGCCCTATCTCAGTATTGTCCTTTAAATCATAGTCAAACGTCCATGTGGTGTTATCATCTAATTCGACTCCTTCCTCTGTATCGATAGTCATCCCACCGAGGATGTAAATTTTGTTTCTTTTGCTCCGTTTAGTTGACACCATAACGTGCTTTTGCCTGCACGCTGGTAGACCTTTGTTGACAAGGGGAACCCATGTGTCTAGATTCGGGTCGTATTCCCAGAAATCTTTTGTGCATAAATGTTTCGCGCTGCTGTAGCCTCCAGAGATTAAAAGCTTGCCTTGTGTACTACAGGATGCGTGCCCCAACCTCGGTTTAGGCATCGGTTTCCTGAGGAACCATTGATCCAAGAGTGGGTTATAGCACTCAACAGAGTCAGTCACTTTACCTTTACCAACCTGGAAGGAAGGGTACATTTAGATTGCTGACAATTGGATTTTGCGCTTATGCCTTGGTCACATTTGCTCCGATTTTCGCTACGGCGCCCGGCCGATTGAGTATTTTGTTCAAAATTGAATACAATATTGAACAAAACACTCAATCGGCCGGGCGCCGGCCGATGGATCGGTGCATATGTGACCCAGGCATTAATTAAGCTGTACTTAGCTGGGGGGAGGGGGGGTCTTTGTGATTGAACATGCCGTCGCCGTTCTCCCACGAGAGAGGGGGGGATTCAGGATACTGACAGGTAGAAAAAAGGGATGGAAGCGATGGGGGAAGAGAGAGGAAGGGAAAGAATATGGAAGGGAGAGAGGGAAAAGAGGAGGACAGTATGAGAGGGACAGACTGAGAGAGAAGAGATGAGAGAGGGGAGATTGAAGTGATCGGAAACACATTTCGTCGCAACCATAGGGAAAACAATTAAAAAAGCAAGAAAATAGTTTTGTGAATTAAATAAACATGTGCAACGACATAATATGATTACAACAAAATGTTTTCATCGCTTTTCTACATATTCCCTTTGTTTTTATTGGACTATTTTAGAAACGCTCAGATGAGAAACACATTGACTTCACGATATGTTTTGCACAAGAATAGGCTGTTTCGGGTGACATCAGATAAGATTAATCGAAGTGCATTCAAAATACGAACGCCGTGACATTCATACCTCTCCACCTGTGACAAACAGGCATCCATCGAGTACATCAACGGAGAACTTCGCTCTTGCTGTAGTCATAGGCGCCATATAATGCCAAGCATTCGTCATCGGATCGAAGCGCAGGGTCTGATCAATCATTTCCCCCGTGTCCCAGGTTTTCCCACCGATGACGTATAGGTAGTTCTCCATGACAACGGCCCTGTATCCCACCAAGTCTTTAAGTTTTGGAAAGATGAGATGCTCACATTTTGGAATAAGCCTACTCGTGCGGGAATCAACCGGGATGTACTGAACTTTTGAAGTTCCAGTCGTTTTGTTGAATAAAAGCACAAACTTTGCTAGTCCTTCCTTCTTGGGGGTATCGTCAAGGAAGTCCATGTTCCAGTTATGATTGAATTGACCTTGGAATTCGTATGACCCGTATGTTGGGTCGTTTCCTTTCGAATCCAAAACTATGTAATATATACTATTAGCTATGCCTTTCACTGTGTGAATTCAGTATTTGTATCATCGAGGCATGCTTGTATTGGTCTCTTTTAAATTGATTACAAGACTGTCGCTTTTACAACAGTTTCTTCGTGCATTATTGAATCCTTGATTTGCAGTTGCCTTCGATGAAATAAGGAACATATACATTAATTTAGGTGGTTGCTCGGATTAACGTGTAATCCATTTCGATATCTTACATAATCTTATTTTAAATATCGGTTTAAGCTTAGAATTGTATAATGGAATTCAATTTATAACCCGCCGAGTCCAATAAATGTTTTGATTCTGGCTATTCTTGGCAGAGGGTTTATTCGATCAGATTGTCTTTTTGAGATCGGATATAAATAAGCCCAAGTATGAGTATTTGATTTTACCATTTTCCTTTGGATATGCTAAGTGAATGTGGACTTTTAATATAATCTACTATTAAGTTGTAAAATGGCAACAATTGATACGTTCGGTAACAAAAAACAGTCCTTTCTATTGTGTTGCTACTATGTACCTTAGAAGTGGGTTTTAAATACGTTATATGTCTTTAATTTCAACATTCACTTTGACAAAAGTTGCATGTGGGTTTTCTTCACATTGATTAAATACATACAATGATGAAAAATATGATTTTATGTTGAATGACAAATTTTTATTGAAACATTTTTGAATACTTTGATGAATTCGTGGTCGATCGTGTATGAGGCATTTCGCCCTAGATTATGACAACGTACGTCCTAAAAACGTCATGAAGCCATGTCTTGGTTTTAATTGTTATGTATCTATCATGTTTGCAACCCAGCAGGAGAACCTGGATCCCTATTTCAAAATGTCAAATTTTGATAACCTCGACCCATTAATCTCTCGTATACAATGTCGACTAGAAATCCCCTAAAACCTCGAGAACAGTGCATAACGAACTCCTCTTGAATACAGCATGCCATTGATTGTAATATATTCATAACATAATTGCAATTTTTGGGTCAACTAGACTGATATGTAATGGGTCACTAGGCATATGGTGAGTCTATTGGTTATAGAAATTCCAAACCATTGTGAATTTAAAAATTAAGGGCTATTTAGGATGAGGATTTAATTAAAATTATAAAATATATAAAATACGTTTTCTTAAAGTTCTTCAATTTTGAATCTTCACCTTCAAAATACTCCGGGATGCCAACATTGACACTGTAATTCGATGTCTCAAAACTGGGTTGTGATAAAAAAGCTAACCCTATTTGTCTGTTTGTCTAATTGCCATGCCAAGTTTAAATGTGTTTTCCGTTTTAGAGTCGGTCTTATGGTAAAAATTGCAGAAAATTTAAAAGAAAAACAAAGGGCCAGTTATATTTCTTGTTTTCTCAACATTAAATGATGCCCAAAAAAGAATTAATATCTAAATTAAAATACTTCCCAGTTTTGCTATGGGTCAAGTTTACTATTGCTAACAAAACGCCGGCGTTAATTTCATCACGGTTTTTAGCAACAACTTTGTCATTTATCATTCACCAGTTGCATGTGAAAAGCTCAGAACATTTGCCCTGATGAATGTGTCTTAAAACTTCTATGTAAGATGTACTTATTTGCTATGCCTTTTTGCGATTTATCACAATACATATATTTGTATCTAAGCTTGTTACAGACAGAATATGTTGTTTGTTATTTCAGAAACGCTCACTGCGAGTGGCAGATTGAAGCATATAATATTAAGAAACATGTTCAGATCCACATCGACGATTTTGACTTGGAGTACAACCCGGTCTGCAAAGATGGCGATCACCTTGAATTCCACGATGGTCAGTCTTCATTTCATTTTAACACCCCCGTCTAGGGTCGTTCTGGAACCAAAAGTCTCCATAGGAGAGCTTGCAAGTAAACTAAGACGTTATTGCTTGATCCTCAATTTTGTTCCGGATTTTTTCGGATTCATGAATTTGGTAAAATCGCCAATTGAACATGTTTAACAAGTGGTCTGAAGGGGGATCCGGTTCCACTTCCAGGGGGACGTGTATCATTTGTTTTTAATTACTCATTTTTTCCTAAATTGTTTTTAACATCTTTCTTGCAATTTTAAACGGTACACCTATTCATTTATATTTCGTACAGGTTAACAGATGTTTGGAACAGTTGAACCAATATAGATCAAAATGGTTGGTCAACTTGATTGACGGTTGACGCGCTTGGGATTTTCATAAGGGATTATTGCCCTATATCGACCGATTTTATTTTGTGCATATTTAATTTAAGGTCCCTATGATTTCTCGCCAATCCTGTACACCCTATGCGGTGCAAGAGCTAGTCTCCCTGTTACAACCATTACTGCAACTCATGACTTCATGCACATTGACTTCGTCACGCATCACCTTGACAACGGCCACAACACGTACAAGGGATTTAAGATCACATTTTGGGCAATAGATAAAAGTAAGACGGTGTGTTTTTATAAGCACGTTCATTATTTGCTTCTTAGTATTAAGAATAGTATGGCCTTTTTACGATTGAGGCCTAGATGATCTGTTTAGAGTTAAAACACATTGTGGACTTTACGGCGTTCGACCCCTCCCCTGCCTCGTCACCAACCTTCTTTGTGCTGAATATCGGACTGACATAATAGGCTTACGATGTTCTTCTGTCAGTAACCCGAGAGCTTGACTTTTCACTATAGGGTATGCTTACGAAAAGATAAACATCATTCGATCTCGATCTATATATATCTTGGTTGAAATCATGGAAAAAGAAAAAAGTTTCGGAGATGGGTAGACTTCTTGCTACTACAAGCACACACATGCAGGGATAAAATTGAATTGACAATTTCGTTTCTGGTCTTATGTATTTCTCTGACCAAATGCTTTTTTGTATCAGAAGTTTCTGAATAGTTTCCATCTTCAGTTACTTTCTATATGTTGCAATTGCAATTGAATGACAACTGCTTGCTTTGTGATCGAGTGACATGAGTAAATTTCTTTTTTATACCTAGAGCATAATGGATACCCCCTGTCCCAAAAGATTTTAATATTCCTTTAAGCATTAAGAAACCGACCTAAAAAAACGACCTAAAAATTAAATACTAACAAATCAAGCCTCAATCGTATAAAGGTCATACTATTCTTAATACTCAGAAACAAATAATGAACGTCACATCATCTTACTTTCATCCCGAACAAGTATTGACTAACTGCAGCCAATTGTTGCTGGAACATTGAGAAGGCAAAAAACGAAGAATCTTAGTGTCTGGCTTTATAAATATTGTTAAAAATAAGCGAAGCATATAGTTCAAATCAGTTTTTTAGAAATCAACAAACGGTTGTAAAAAAAGAGGACTTACCATGTCATTACATCTTGACCTCGTCTTTGTATAAGCTTAACCCTGATATTCATAAAAATGAAATTTGTTAGAAAAAATAAGATGAAAAATAAAATGTAATCAATCAAAATGATGGGTTGAATAAATATAGCTTTGATAGTAACTTTCGAAACGGTGTCTTTATTTTACAACATGTTTGCCTATAATATATGCCATTCCAACAGTTATAAAACAGGATAAAATCGAATTTTCTTCCAACATTCTAAACCTCTATCCCATTCCATTAATTTCTCGTATTGGTCAAAACAAGTTGTGTTAAATATTGAAACCTTTTTTATTATGAAAACTAAACGGTTGTTTTATATGTTGTAGATGTGACTGTGATGAATCGCGATAGTTCGCTGAATCTGTACCATTCCTACGTTTACACCGATCTCCTTGTTAGAGTCATCATAGGAGTTGTTGCTGCCATACTCGCTCTTACTATACTCTATTGCATATACAGGCGCTACAAGAGAGGCCAGACATCAGTACATGATAGTCGTGGTAGACCCTATGGAAGCGCCGGCCCTGCGGATAATCCGGGCACACAGATAATAACAGTAAACGGCACTATGAACCAGCACCATGCATCAATGGGGTTCCCAATGATACCCGTCCAGCCCGTCTCAGCCATATCCGGGATACAGCCGTTACAGGCAGGTTACGTACCTGCGTTATGCCCCGATCCTTCTGATGAAATGCATGCGAAAAATGTCCAAGGGGGACCCCCTCCGTATGAGTCACGTGATTTTATTGGGCAAGGTCATGAGCAACGAGGTCAAGGACGCCTTCCACCTATTAATAGTGTAAATGTCGGGGGCGTGATAGGATCCTTGCCTCCTCTTTCTGTGGCTCTCTTCCCTGAAAGACAAGTGTCGAGTGAAGTTGAACCCCGATTTGGTCCACGAAGTCAATTATCCAATAGCGTTATACCCAATTCGGGAACAACAGAGATAGCACCAGCCGCAGATGCTAGTGTACAGATACAAGACGGTCGACACGTTTCAGATGATAAAACGAAAAGAAAGAAGAATAAACGCAGGGAGAAACGTGAACGTGACACCGACCAGAATACAACTCTATAGAAAGAGTTTACAGGACGTGCACGTTTTATAAACGTACTTCTTGTTACGCGGTAAACATGATACAAATATATGTTATATTCCGCAACGAATATGACATATTCACTTGCGGTGTACTGACAATTTCACCTAGGGTATATGACATGCACACTAACCAATTGCAATGAGGTAGCGATACGGAAGTACGCAATTGTCAATTACACCGATTCAACGAACGGGCTAAAGTCTATGTCAGTGCATTGAATATATCAACTAATACAATTGAATAACGTACACCAATGCGGTACCTGTATTGTTTGATGTTGTTTTATGTACGTGTTACACGTAACAACACACATTTCAAGGGAAACATCATTACGCATAAATAAACGAACCTCACGAGTATTTATATATTGTTGCATTGGCAGTCACGATTTACACATTTCTGATACTTTCAGGCCTACCATTCAGCAATTACACGTAATAAACATGCTTTAACAATCCAGGATTCATATATTATTACTCGAAGGCCTAACTTTATTGGTAATCCAACGTAGTTTTACATATAGAATGGATTCTTTTGACCAATCAAATCGATTTACCAATCAAATCGAATATTCACTGCGGAATATACCATATTCTGCGTAACACTTCTGACGATCATTACAAATTGAGGTATAACACATATCACCGTCCATTGAATCTCGTCACTCAGTATGCATTGTCGAGAACCACTACGGTTGACATGATGTGCTCTCAAAAATATATATCCAGAACTTGGGCATTAACAAAATTAATTCCATCAAGACCATCCCAAAAAGACCGTGAATATGTGTTTTAGAAATATCAAACATATCAAAAAGTGAATTCCATGAATACAACAAACTTGTGTGTCAAGAGAATCAAAAAATTGAATTTAACCCTAACCCTAAGACCGTGAAATATGTGTGTCAAAAAATACAAATAAATGCTACGCTTTCTGTGTCCTCGGCGGGTAGGTCAGGGTTAGGTAATCATTTAAAACATCACCTGGTTTAATAGGGTTAGGCCGGGTAAAGGTTATAAGGGCTAAATTCATTTTTTAATTTTTGTTCACACACAAGTTTATTATATTTATGGAATTCATTTTTTGACACAAAAGTTCATTGTATTTACTAGTATTTTGGACATTCTTGTCCAATTCAATTGCAATTGTTCTTTTACCCATTAATTCTTTTAGCCATAGATTAATCTATATTTTGAGGTATTGAAGTGTCCATTGTACTTCCATGTATATTTGCACCGAGCGCGCTACCTAATTCTAAAAGATATGCCCGTCTTCGTGGTCAGAAAATAGTTATAATCCCAAGATATGATCGTCTGAAATTATTTGCAATAACCCACGCGGCCTTTTGTCTTGCCAATTTTGCGAGATCATCTTTTAATGCAGGCCTGTACGCAGGATTTTCCGACTGTTGTTCTATTTTTATGCGAACCAATGCATGGCATTGCACCACATCTTGATTCACAAGGTTGCAGTTGCTTCAACTTCGTTGTTATAACACCTTGGAAGTCGATGATGATTGCACCACACACACAATCCCTAGTCCGTTACAAATAACATCAACTGAAGGTAGAGGTGGGTGTAACGGCACGGTCTACACAGTATAAATACTACATAGCCTATATAGTATATCGAGATTTTGAGGGCACGGATACTGAGTAGCCTTATGCTATCAAATCTTTGGGTCAGGATTGGAAAAACTAGTTCTATTTTTGCATTGACACATTTTTTCACACCAAACTTTTCATCTAGTAAGTTAGACATAAGGTCATTAAAATTATACTATTTTTTAAACGCATCAAAGGTGTGATAATGAAAACCTTCCAAGATTAATAATAAGGTTGCTAGTTGTATGAGACATTTTTGCATTTCTTTTAACTTGTGAAGATGAATAAATAAATCTTAAATTTGAATTTGGATTTCATTAGTTCGCATGACAAAATAATTGGAATATACATGTACATGAAGATCTTACTTGGATAAGTTGAACGACTTTTGTCTAGCAACTTGGATGATACAAATTCTATGGCAGTTGTTGACCAGTGATAATGAGGCATATGTGGCGAAAATTGAAGGTTGTTCTCCTTGTTGTGAATTAAGTGATGGGACCGCCTGACTGGTTTAAATGTTATCTAAGTTTTGACAGCATAATTACAGTTATGGCTAGGATGAATCCCCGGGGATGAATCCCCGGGGATGAATCCTAGATTATGGTAATACATCATCGGTTCCAACGTTCAAACACAGTCATTTACGATATGAAATACTTGGCACATACAACAATAATGTCAATGTATAGCCAGAGACATATGACATTTAAAATTAAATGTAATATATGTTGTACCATGGTGTGCCAGGTATGTCATAGTATTTTAACATTGGCTTTATGGATTACGTAGTTCTCCTATTTGTAGTGTCGGCCGATTGAGTAAAAAGGTATACGGAAAATAATTGTAATTTGGTCCCTGGGAGAGTGATCCCCGTGGGTCGAAATATTACACACTCGTGTACAGGCAGGATATCTTAAAAACATGTAATTACTGTACACGTTTTTAAGTTCTAACCTCCTCTTGGAATATTTCAACATAAGAATTCAATTTGGAGACACGATTTATTTCTATCATATGTGATAAATATAACAAGAATTATTTTTATGAATATTCTCTTATCTAATATACTGTCGTGACAGTAAAACGAACAACTGACTTTGACACAGTAAAGAGTGCCACATTGCGTTAGCATCACCTCTTTAACTTGAACCATGAGAAAATTCGGGTAATACAAAAATGGAAAATTACGATTTTCAAAATTCTCGTATGCCCCAAGTGACGCTTTATCGTTTTTTTCAATTTTACTAGAATTTGCATCGATATTTCCCCAAAGAAATCGTATTCGAACGTCCAAAACATGTTTTACATATAAATCAAGTTCATCGTGCATCAAGTATATATAGTGACAGGGATGATATCAGGGATGATATCGGGATTAAAGGGGTAATATCGGGGATGATATTGAACAAATATTTCACTCTATTGAGGTGAATACCTGTACATCTTTCACAAGTGATATTCCACGAAGCCCGAAGGGCAAGTGGAATATCACCTTGTGAAAGTGCTACAGGTATTCACCGAAAATAGAGTGAAATATTTGTTTTATTATATCGACTGTCTAGCTAAACATCCCTAATATTATTAAGTCATAGGTTAACATTGAAATACATTGAATCTACTCGGTTCGTCTGCCATTTTGACTTACACTGAACTAAATTATTTACATCTCACGTTTGTCTTATCTGATTAGCATTGCCATTGAATATCGCCAGATATCCCACCACATGTGTCCCGGTTTTTACCAATCATACTGTCGCTAGCTAGATAGTGATATAATAATGATATATATCATCCCGGGTCCCGGGTAAATTCATAAAATTACATTTTTTCCCCCCAAATTCATTTTTTTAAAAAACTTTTTTTCAAAATTTTACATTTATCAAAAATCGGGGATTGATATATATCATCCCGGGTAAATTCAAAAAATTTACATTTTCCCCAAAATCCCTTTTTAAAAAAAACATTTTTTTCAAAATTTACATTTATTAAAAATCATTTTTGCTCTTGTCCATGGTATAAGGTCGTTATTCACCTGTCGGGATGATATAGGTAAATATTGATATCATCCTTGTGGTATTCCCCATATTAAATCCCTGTTTTTCGGATCACTAGCTACATCCAATGACATCATCAAATCTCTAGCCAATATACCATTACAATCTTTGATGCACCAAAATGATAGGGTTTATTGGAAAGGTCCATTAGAACATTTATACATTACATTTGTGCTGACGATACGCTTGTGCAGACTTTGTGCTGACGTGCGCTTGTATGAGTTGAGTAGAAGTCATCACAAGATCTTTAACAAAATGTTTCACAATTTTGTTGAATCGCAGGAGACGATTTGACATGCTTGTTTTTCAGAAACATCTTCTTCGGGTGCCTCGCGACCACCGGTAGTATTTTCATTTTGTTTCTGACAGAGTGGGTCGGTTATATGGTAACCACCAACAAACAACACAATATTTAGCAGGGCTGTACCTATTACTATGCTGCCAATTATCGTAAAGTATTGCGACATATTATCTAAACTAAATCTCCAAAGGGTGTTCCAGCAAATCCCCCCTACATTACCCCCAGCGGCTACAATACCGGCTACTATGCCTACCCTTTCAGGCAAAACAAACGGAACCAAGGAGTAAGTTGTCCCTTCTGCGTTCTGAACGCACATACTCCAAAAAATAAGCACAGCGATAGCAGAGGGTATCGTGTCCATTTGACCAAATATAATCATGAGAGTTCCCTGGAGCAAGAACACTGTAAAATGGACAAGGATTCGACCAGACAAATTCCAGCGTTTGTTACAAACATCGGATAGGAAACCCCCAGTGAAACGGGCAAAAAGATTCATCAGACCAAAGAGAGAAGTTATAAGACTTGCTGTCTCTGCAGTAAGCACCGAACAACTGTAGGAATCTTTACCAGTTAGATCAGTTATGTTACATCCGGGTTTTTTGAACTTTCTCAGTAAATAAATGTTAAGGTTACTGTTCACTGATATCTCCACCCCGAAGCAAGCTGCGTACTGAACGAAAAGTATGATGATTGTTAATATTTTCAGACCAATATTTCCACGCCAACCGTCTTGTTGAGCTTCCATCTTTTTGTTACCAGAGACGCTTAGGTTTCCGTTATTTTCAACTGCTGTTACCGACAACTCTGTGTTGTTTTCGTTTTCACTGTCTGGAAAATCAAAAAGGCACCAGGCCGTGCATGAGTACGAGATAAAAATATTGTTTCATAATCACATGTTTCCCCTGGGAAATAAACATGGAATAGAACTGACAGCCAAAATCTCGTATCAGATCCCGTATTGGATCCCCTATCAGCCAAAATTCCGTATCTGATCCCATATCAGTACTATCAGATTTCATGAGACTTAATATTGTGTTATTATTATAGCATATTATGATTCATTTTAGTATAATAAATTATTTCTATTTCAAAACTTAATTATAATAAATCTAGGTTATTGATTATTATTTTCCCTAGAGATAAAATTCATATTCCATCCCTCCCATTAAATAACCTCTATATACGAGCATTTATTAATTTTTACATGCATGAATTATCAAATTCAAACAAGTCGGAGCAAAATGTGCAATAACATGCATTCATTCATGCGCACCCATCGCACCCCCCCCCCCCTACCAGCTACGCCCATGGTTAATGAGTATGAAATAATACATTTACGAAATACGCGGATATTACCTGATGTACTATATGCCTTATTAACATGTCCATCTAATTTCTTTGTGTCGTATTTTACTTCATTTGCAAATCGCGTCTTCCTTAGGTGCCATGGGCCTTGAGGACAATCATCCGTAAAGAACCAATACGGTATTGCCAGAATCAAACCGACGCTGGCAGGTATTACTAATGTGACCTTCCAAACTGCAGATGGGCTCAGATTCGAATAAGATACCAATTGATACAGAAGAGGCATAAGAAGGAATGTAACGCCGCCACCAAGGTTGCCCCATCCGCCCGCCAATGCGTTAGCACTTCCTACGATGTTATCACTGAACATATTTATGGTCCACATTTGGCAGGGAACGAAGACACCTCCAAGAATGCCGATGAAGAGACGGACAATGATCAGCCCGAGTCCGTTAGTGACGAGCCCGGTAAGTCCTACGGGGATAGACCCAGCTACGAGGAGACCGATCATGACGCGTCTCGCTCCAAACCTATCGCATAAAGGACCCGCACATATCCGTATAACAATGACTGCCGCTACTGCCGCTATACCTATTAAATAGATAATGCACAAATGAATTAAAGGAAAAAATATAATTTGATTACGAATTACGCTTGACCAGTTAGAAGTTACAGGCACTAAGAACAAGCAAAGAACATTGCATCTATCTAGATGTGTAAGATCATTCTAGTCTATTCATTCTCTCCACCCAATTTAGGGTATTAATGTTTCACCTTTTTGGACAATTACATATAAATGAAAAAGCTGAATGAAACAAACACAGCCCCTTAAACAAGTGATACATCTCACCAACATAGGATATACCTACAGTAGCTATTTCGGACATGTTTGGGATCCGGAATTAGCATGTCATAGCCCAGGCCAGATAATTGTTATCCTAACGTAATTTAATAAAAAATTATGTATCAAAAGTGTGATATTGAACAAATATTTCACTCTTTTGAGGTGAATACCTGTACATCTTTCACAAGTGATATTCCTAGAAGCCCAAAGGGCAATTGGAATATCACCTTGTGAAAGTGCTACAGGTATTAGAGACGATTTATACAATGTACACTAGCAACGATATGATGATACTCTGCAAATAAACCCAATGATTGTAAATACTGGTAGTATGAACATAACTTTTGTCATATGACACTATTGAACTAGATTAGGTGTAATGTTGAGGCAGCGCGATAGCACCTCAATAAGCTGACTGAGATGATCTGATCGCATTATTATATTCAAACGTTCTTGTATATAGTGTATAACAGTAATATGTTATATTTTTGTTATTTATTATCATTGTAATACATTAGTACTAAAGTAAGTACTCTCCAATTTTGGGAGGCAATAAAGATACATAAAACGTTCAACTTACTTATTTCAAAAAGGCTGGAAATTCGATTATTTGAGAAATAAAAAGCTGACAACCTTTTTTGAATTTGTTCAAAAAGTTATCAAATCTATTCAAAGTCATGAAAAGAGCTTATCTTATGTTTCTGAGTGAGGAATATATAGAAGGAACGTTTTTTATGACCATTTTCTATGACCATTCAAGTTGAATCGTGAGAAAAAAATCTGTTTTTGACTATTTGTTCGATGTTTGGTCAAACATAATCCATTCCATACAAGTTGCTTTAAAGCCCTTTCAAGCTTCGTGTCTGGGTTTTGCATATCAATGAATCAATTCAGATTTTGAAGGCAATCATAAGGGTAAATATATAAGGAATGAAGAACATTTTATTTTCTATACCCGTTATTTTATTCTATAGCTATTGCCCCGAACCGGTCCGTCTTCTCGCTGTAAGCTATTGCCCCGAACCGGTCCGTCTTCTCGCTGCAAGCAGGAGGAAATTCTTTGTCACAAAGTTTGGCATTTTTTATAAAATCAAACGCGCGTCATTGAAACTCACAAGATGTAAATAGCATGTCATTTACATCATACCTTGATGGGGAAAAATAGATCTTATATGTTAGAAGTACTAAATAAAAGTTATCGTGAAAATGAGACAGTCGTTCTCGAAAGAAAAGAGCATAAATGCGCATTTAGAGAGTTTTGGTCCGTTTTAAAATCTGTAAAAAATCGGGGTACTTAAAAGCATCGGGAGGCATCATATATTTCAAATTAGACACGAGGAAGTCAATATTGAGCAAGTTATGGCTGTTTTAAATTCAAATAAAACCGTTAACCCGTACCGGTCCAGCTTTTGACCCGTACCGGTCAATTTTCGTTAGCTGCGTATACCAAGGGTGCAATTCGCAAGAATACATTTAGTGGATTCGTCCATATGTGAAGAGGCCTTAATTAACCCTAATGTCTACATTTTTTTTTCGTAACACTAAGTCGCAAGAAGGGAGGTTATTTGGACCCCTGCGATTTGTTATTACTTGTCTGATTTCACTATTGTTGATATACATATACAGGGTGGTATAAAAAAAATAGGACACTCTTATTTCAAAACTAGATATTGATATTATTGATGAAAACATCACATCATATACCAGTGGATAGGGAATTTATTTATCTTTAATTTGGTAAAGCATAAGTTAAAATTCATTATAATGCCTGTCAACCAGCGTTCATAATACAAATGACGTCATTTTCGTTTCAAAACGGGTTTTCGAAAGCTTTGTCAACATAAACAGATGTTCAATATGTCCACCATTCTGATCAATTATGGCCCTCAATCTTGGCATAAACTTGTCGCTATTATCGTTGATATGATTTTGAAATAATAAATTCCACTTCTCAACAATTCTGTCCTTTATAAGGGACTGAATAGATGTAAGGGTTTCATGGTACACCAACTCTGTTAGTTCTCCTCATACATGATAGTCGCAGAAGTTAGCATCAGGTAAACTTTTTTCTTAAAAAAGTAGGTCAATATAGATCAAGTCGAGGTCAATTGAATAGTCTGGAATTTCAAGTTCAACTTGTTTTTGTCTTTAGCATATATATTTCAAGATGAACAACAAATCAGTGATTTAGTATGCAATATAATTTCGGTCCATGATGTTGCCTGGCAACCATCTAGCAACGGCACAAATATTGAAATAGTAAAATTGAAAAATTTGGGGTATGGGAGAATAAAAAGATGATACCTAAAAGGATTGGTATCGATGTGGTGAACTGAATTCAACAATGTTTTTCTCTTAAACCAATTATTGAAAACATCCTGTAAAAAACACGCCTATGTAATGTTGACTGATAGACAACAATTTAATGCGAAAATAATTTATATTTTATATACTAGTAACTGTTTTTATTAATATTTTTTGTTTTTCCGCGCAGTTGTTTTTTGTTCCTTTTTACCAATTCTTCACTGGTGATCCACTCGATTACGCTGGTTACAGAAACGGTTCGTTTTGGTAACAAAATGTCGGAATGTCGAAGGTACGATTTTTCTTTTGTCCTTATTTCACGCGTTGTAGGCAGAATCCCAACGACGTTTTTTCTCACAAACGTATATCAGTATCATATATTTTGGACGTTTCGGTTAAAAGTGCAGATCTCAACTGTCTTTCGAAATACCGTTTATGTAACTTAAGTGAGGAATTAAATCGACGATTCTGTTATCTTCTGAACTATTTGTTCGCAAATATGTGCATTTTCTTAAACATGTGATACTGATACAAGTTTGTGATAAAATCATCGTGGGAATTCTGCCTACAACGTGTGAAATAAGGAAAAAAAAGAAAAATCGTACCTTCGATGTTCCGATATTTTGTTACCAAAACGAACCGTTTCGGTAACCAGCGTAATCGAGTGGATCACCAGTGTTCTTGAGAATGAAATAAAATATCTTTCCGAAACTTGTTGGAACAAAATAGCATATAGCACACCATTTTCTTAGACCTCTCAATATTATAGTTATAAAAGGGAAATTTTGGTTGATTTAACAAAAAGTATTCAAAAAATTAAAACAAAAACCCCCAAAATGGTTAAAAATTAATATAAACCTTTTATTTCATTAACAAGGTAATTTTAAATCAGCCAAATTTTCCTTTGCACAATTACAATATTGAGAGACCTAAACACGTTGTGTTTATGCCATTTTGTTCAGATGTTTCATATCATTCCGAACATATGATACCAAGAACAAAAGAAGTGTCTGATGTGTTTTCTAAAACAATATAGAGAGAAGTATATGTATCTATTTCAAACCATGTTGTTACCATTTAAAAGATGACCATAAAATTGACAATGTGTAAAATTTTCAGAATTTTTCAATGACTGGTTTAAGAGAAACGTGTGTTCAAAAAGTTCACCATATCGATACTCATCCTTTGGAAGAATATATCATCATAATTATGATACCACATTTAGGAAGATGCAAAACAAATCAAAGGTATTGAAAAAGTAGTTTTGGAAAAAGCGTTTTTCTCTCAAATTCGTGAAGAGAACGCGTTTCGCGACTACTTGGATTACTTGGCGATTGCCAGTTTTTTACCTTTAAAATTAATAAAACAGTCAATAGTGGCTCGATTTTCATGATATAAAGCATATTGGAAAGAGAATTCAATGCTCTGAATTATTATTTATCAAACAAATCAATAATCATCTTTTTGCATAAGAGCATTTCCTACTCCGCCACCTTTAGCCAAAGTTGGAAATGGGGAAATTAAAAGGAATAATCTTCATAAGCATCTAGGGTATACTTTTGATTATCTTCTTTTTAACAAAAATCATATATATGACATTGTCAAGAGAGTACAAAAACTGCTTAATCCATTGAAGGCACTTACATCAAAAATTAACTCGAAACATTTGGAGACAATGTACAACTCATTCATAAGGCCTCATTTTGATTACGCAGACATTCTTTATCATTCATCAACTCAAGTACTGATCAATATCCCTAGCAAGTTACATTATCAGGCTGCATTATTGTGTTCTGGGTGTCTCCATGGCTCTGATACAGGTAAAGTTATGGGGGTCTTAAACTGGTGCACACTATCCCAAAGGAGGGAACAACACATTCTTAACTTCATGTACAAAGTAATCAGAAACCAGGTACATTCCTATGTATCTTCAATATTTGAAGAATTCAAAAGTCCAGCTACCAGAAGAACAAGCAATACAGAGGTATACCAAATTCCTATAATAGTCCATTTGTCATTTTCTGAACGTATAAATATTTAAAAGTATGATGTTTTTCTGTGTAAATACTATCATTAGGGATTATTGGAGTGATTTAGCTGGGTTGCCAAAAAAATAACTTTGGGGAAAATTTTTGTATCTATTACCATGGTAACATACCAGGTATATGGTGGTATCCAAACGCTAAGTCAATAGTCAACGTCATGTTAAGCGATTGCACCCCTCCCTAATCAGCCTATATCATTTTTTCCCCAAACAAACTTTTTGGGCAACCCAGTTAAATCACTTCAGAAAACCCTTATTATCATAAATCGACCATAAAACATCGTACTTTTAACAATTTCTAGGTTCACTATTGGATGTATAGGGGTGACAAATGGACTATAAGGTCAACTGCCCAATTTATCAAATCCCCTATGTCTAATGCAATATCACTGTGGAACAAATTACCTAAACCTCTTTTAGAATATGCCTTAACATTTTCCCTACAATCATTCAAAAAAGAAAGTAATAAACACTATCTGCCCAAGAGAATAATCAGTTCAACGTCCCTGATTAATTTAACAAGGTCTCAAGAAATCACTCTCAACAGAGCTCGTGTTGACTTATTATTGAAAGCAAGACTTTTTACACACCAATTTACTTTTATAGACTCGGCTCATTGTTCTTGCGGCAACTAAAACATTTATTTTTCAAGTGTCCTCTATGCCAAATTAATAGGCATGCCCTGATGGAAGAGGTCAACAATAATTTTTATAATAAGATCAGCCAACTAACAAACATGGATGATAAACTTAATTTTCTCTTATATGGTGACGAGACATTATCCTTAGCAGAACTAAGTAGACTTCTTATCATCGTCAGCAATTTTCTCCATGACAACAAGACATAGCAAAGGGGTCTCATCTAAGCCCTGGAGAACTCATAATATATTTATCTTGTTTTTTACACATCTACTTGGCACAAACCCCTCTGGTCCCTGGGATACCCTTCGATGCACAGTCGTCCTCAAACAGCTAAATACTATACTTAATTTTCTACATGTAAGTGATGGCCAACCTATAATGCCAATATGGCGATTGGTGGCCGAAAATGTATTGACTTTACTTCAATAAAGTTTATACTATAAAAAAAAAATCTAGAGCATTAGAAACAAAGTAATAATCAATACAGAATTTCAATTTTATTGGAATCAAGTTCCAATTATCATAACTTAGCCCCTCTACCCCCAATCACCTTGTTTTTTACGCCAAAAAGTGTCTTATATCTGTGGCTCAAGCTAAAAAAAATAACAGAGACGTAAAAACTGCAAAAAAGTACTCTTGAAAAAATGTAGAGGGAGGGGGTCGGATTGATCCCCACAGACATTAGGGTTAAAGCCTTTTTATTATTACTATATTAATTAGCAAAGCCCTCGCCTCGATTAAGTCTGTCCATTCGCCTGGGAAATAATTGAAATACTAGTGAACGAATTTGAACAAATTAGTTCGGAAGAAATATGGGGTATTTTGAGGATCAAACGTTTTCTTCGGATTACAATGTTTTTTCAACTTTTCAGCATGAATATAGGGTTGGGACCTGAAAACCACGGAATGCTTGAGCGACACCCTTGGGTACAGGTAACTCTCTACAAAACATTTCTCATACCCCCCTAATAAAATTTACTGGGGGTACTATTAAGACGCTTTTTTATCTCAGACACTAATAATCCTATTGACTTGAAATTTTATATGATGTTTGAGCCGTGTGAAACAACATAATAAAAAAAAATAATAATATGTTGCTTTAGCCTCAGTAATAGGACACTATTTCTTACCTTAGAAATGCATTATTTAGTGCTGTTTCATAATTGTCTTCATATTCTTGATTCTTAAACTATCTGAAGCACATAGCATGATTAGAAGTGAACATAAAATAATTCATATGTAGGTCTGCGTTATGCGGCAGTACAGTTTGGTACAGAATGTTGGTGTGGGACCAATAAAGCAAGTATGGTACTGCAGATTCCTCCCACAAAATAATGCATTTCTAAGGTAACCATCCTCCGATCACAGGGCTTCAAAATCCAGAATATCTTCTTTCTTTTTGAAGAAGGAGGTACGGATTCTGGACACCTGCTTAGGAGGATGTAAGGTAACAAATAGTGTTCAATTACTGTTGCTATTAGCAACGGATTAAGATTTTTCTTGATTTTCACCAAACAGATTAAGCCAATTCCTGAAAATTTCAAGTCAATATCTTTATAAGTGTTTGAGATATAAAGGTGACTTATAGTATTCCCAGTAGATTATATCAGGGGGTATGAGAAATGGTCTGTAGAGAGTTGCCCAAGGGTGCCGCTCTGGCATTCCGTGGTTGTGAGGTCCCAACCCTATATCCATGCTGAAAAGTTAAAAAAAACATTGTAATCCGAAGAAAACGATTAGCTTTGATCTTCCTGCCAGAATAAATCCTGTGCCGAGTTATAACTATCAAGTCCAAAATGAAAAAACTACATGCGCATTTTTCAATTTTAAATGACATTAATGTACTTTGACCTCAATGCAAGAAGCTTCAATTATTAAAGAAAAGATGCATTTGGGAATAAAAATATGTTAGATTTCATTAGAATGAACAATTAAAGAGTATATTTTAGACTAGTTAGCTCATCTCCATTGTCCCGAATCTAGTTTTTATTTGATACCACAAGGTCAGATTTTAGCAAGCTTGTTTTAAACACTTAATTTGAGACAACACTTGGTTTGTTTCAGTTTTTATTCTGCTTTTTCTGATTTATTTACCTGAGTTTGCGATCTCCTCGTCTTTTAATCCCAGATCTTCTTTGATTTTTGGAATCAAAGGTTGCACGCAGAACCATCCAAGAAATGCCACGAAAAATCCAAACCATGAAGCATGGAAGGCTCGCATATGCGGGCGTTTAATGCTGAACAGCCAGAACGTAGTTGCTTTGCCAATATCATCCGTATCTAAATTTGACTTTGCACAACAACCGACGGCTTCTGCATCTCTTTGATGAGGATCCATTTCTGCCATTTTCACGAACAAGAGTAACAGAAATTATTCGTGTATTTATGTTTATGGCGATAATGTCATGAACAATATCCGATTAATTGTGTTGGACCTAGGCTTCACGGCGATCCAATAATAACTTCAGTTTTTTAAAGTTTAAACATGTAGTGACTACATCAAGCGTATCTCTATATTATTAGAAACTATGAAATTGGATAAAAGAAAAAATGCCCTGGTTCCAGATCGTAATGCTATTCATTCAAACAAACACTTTCTTGTTTACGTTTTTTTCTAAAAGTGGTTTTACTCTAGAACAACCTCAATCTAAAACTTCATTTGGTTAATAAATGCAAAAGCTTAAATATAAATGTTTGCTGAATGTTTAAATGACACGTGAAGGCATCATGTTATTGTGATACGTGAGGCAGGCCCGTCCGAAATGGGGGGGGGGGGGGGGTGTTGAGGGCGACCGCCCCTCTCCTTTCCAGACTACTCTGACCTTGTATTATTATTATCATATTTATTTCGTCTCCATTTCTGGAGATAATAATAGTTAATTATTACATAGAAAGAGATAACAGGTGGGAAAAACAGTAAACACGGGGCCCTTGGTTGGCCCATGTACCCCTATAAAGGAGTTCCCGTGCCACCAAAAGACTTTCTAGTTACAATTGTATAATTCGGGCCAAGGTCAAAAGTGAGAAACTACGTAAAAATAAAATATGAAAACTAAATATAAATAAATAGATGTATTACAGGCTCATCTTGGTAAAACTATACTACAGACTCATATCGGTAAACTAACTACGGACTATAATCTTGCTAAAACCTATTTCACTATTTAGAAATCTCCATCTTGGTACAATAGTCTCGAAACTGTCTGTCTCGTGCTGCCACCTATTGGCCAAATGAAACATTAAAACCCAATAACACAATTTGGTTGTTCTAAGATATAACATTACTCTCCCCTTACAATGTTACTTTACCAAGAAAAATGTGAACCTCACATTTCATCAATTAAACGTCTAGGGGCACAAACTGTTGGTACCTCAACAACCGTTATCTCATCACTTGGCAGTTGGCACATGAACCACCGGTTGATCAGGTTCCTTACTTTGAACAATAGGAACATGTAATGGTGCTATCTCATTATCACTAGGCAATGCTAACTGATCTAAAGAATTCATATTTGCATCAACAAGTGGTGGAGCTGCCATATTACTGAGTACATGTATCGGGCTGGACTCTATATTAGAGTGACTATCAAATTTTAGGAAACTTCATTTCCAAAAAATAAGCATTATAACAATTCAATTAAGTAGTAAGGTACAATTAAATGCTATAAAAAGTAACACAGCATATTGTCAAATGGAAATAAAGCTAGGGGAAGTAACAAATATGCAAATTAATTTTCCTAATCGGCCATTTTGAATGGCACTTCCTATGTAAACAAATAATTTTCAATCCCAAATTTAACATATGTGGGCTATAGTCTGAATATTTTCATTCCAAATTTCAAAAAATGTCAGACTATAGGATATAGTCTAGGGACATGCCCCAGACCACTCTAGCTTGCTTTTGCGACGCTTTGCGTGTGCCGATTTCAGAGCGCTTAATTGTATCGGCGGCGCTACCCATCCGTACGCAAATGTTGCCCCCCTTCGGAATCCATTCGGACGGGCCTGTTAAGATGAAGGTTATTCACTCCTATTAGTTATAAGCTTGTATTCGTGAATGCAACTTTCGGCTGTCGGTAACCGGTTTAACATACTTTTTATTGCAAACTCATTTAAATATGAATGGAATTGTGGCAAGTACTATTCATATCTAAATGAGTTGGACATGAAATCGTATGTTAATCCGTCAGCCGACAGTCGGCAGTTGAATTCGCGAATACAAGTTAAGATAAAATTAATCAGACCACGCACTAACACGTTTGAAGATCCATTTACACTTTATACATTCTAAGATTCACAAATCGCTTGGTGTTTTAGCAATCGCAAAGTAATTTTTAGCGTTTTTATTTTTTCTATTCACCTAGGTAAGTTGAGGTTGGTCAATATTTGTTTATGGGTTTTACATGTCGCATGTCAATACATTATTTGAGGAAGTCCATCATTGTAAGGTCACCTCTAAAAGAATACATATAAAATTATTTAGGTCTTTTAAGTTGAACCTAAGTCCTTAAAAAGAAATCTATATTTGGTCAATATTTGGTCGAACAAAATCCATTCAATAAAAATTAAAGAATTAAGAATGACCTCTGGTTATATTTCATAAACAGGAAAGTTAAATACAACTTGGTTAGGAGAAGATCTTGGAGAGATTCAAGAAGTGCAGCAGAAAATAATTATGTGGTACAAGAATGCGTAGAAGTAAATCACCCCAATGTTATGATTGCCCAAGATGGCTCCATCAGGGAAAACATAATGGCATGGGGTGGTGGAGTATAGGAAAACAACAGTAGAAATTTTGAATAGCAGCAGCCAGAGGGAGAAAAGCCTGCTTATTTCTTGCAGAAGCAGACGCAATGGAAGATACCTTAGTCTGGATATTGTTTTTGTTATTGTTATTGTTTGTTGTTCAAAAAACTTCCGGCTTAAGGGTCGAACATTTTTTTTCATCACAAGGGGTCAAAAACGTAAATATTTTGATTCGAATTTTTTTACATTTTATGAGACACAGACCGTTATTCTAAGCATATGGACAAAAAATATATTAGTAGTAGCTACTAGCTGGATATAATAAAATTTTAGGAAGATAATGATAACGATTTTTCTCAATTATTCATGAATTCGACCAAGTATTGATGGTTGTTTTATAAGCAACTGAGCAATATCTAACTACGAGAAATAGAAAAGCTATAGTCGCAATCAGTCAAGGAAGACCAATAGACGGAATAAAAGTCCATATTTCAAAATGTATTGAGACCCATTTTGTGAAAAACTAGAATAATTTAAGCATTTGACATTTTTATATAAAAGTGATTCATTTGTAGCATTTATCTCATTAATATCTGATAATACAAAACGTCGATACACTGATTACATAATTTTTTGGTATTGATAATGATGTCGTTATTTTCTGAAATTATGACCGACTATAAATTCAAAATAAATAGTTTAAAAGATTCGAACCAATATCTCAATCATATCTTGTGAGTTTTGGAATTTTTCGTTAGGAAATAAGACCAAAATTCACGATTCAAATGTTGAAGTGAACAAAATGGCGGCTGTTTGAATTCAAATTTTGTATCACGACATCCCCATATATGGGACAGATCTTTATATCGATGTCGCACTCTGGTGTCCAATCCTCCTTGTGCGGACCCTGAATTTGCAACATTTTTATACTAGCATGACATCTATACTTAAAACAGATCTTGTTTTTGACAAAATTGCAATACATGTAGGTACAATTATATTTGGCGCCAAGTCATTTTTATTTCTCCGAAAAGTTATTTTCTCTAAACAAGATATTTTCAATGCCAAAATCCAACTTGACAATATTTTGAGCTAACGGTTGATTTCAAACATTCAATTACTTCACCGTGAGCAATTATGGAACTTTTCCTCAATATGAAAATCGTGAATCATGCATTGATTAGAAAATCCTCAATCCTTGCGAATAGTATAGTTTCCATATAGCTTTTGAAATCTTGCTAAATCTCATTTTTCGTGAGATTTTAAGAGACTTGCATATTAGACCTCTAATGACTTACATTACCTTCTTTTAAATGGCATATTTGAATTCAGTGAAATGTTTTCTCCTTTAATAGCTTTGATTTACACAGTTATGTAATTTGAATAATTTTCTATAACAATTTAAAAAAACTTGGGCCAAATGTCCATAGATGCAATGCTAAAATTCTTTAAATCCGTGGATTATTTGTATCATGTCAATCGATCAACATTTGCATGTTTAATCACATCATGTACATAAACAGGTATATAAACAGGTATATCATTCAAGTTTTATACAGATTCAACAAACACACTTTGATAAATCATGAAATTAAGCCACTTTTCCAAGATTTTAGCATGTAAATGAATGGAGCTCTAGCCCGAGTTAAAAGCTGAATAAAAGATGGCAGCACGAGATTTCATTGATTTTTCTGCTATTTAGAAACTATCCTATTGAATCTTCAGTCTTATTCGCTAGTACACGCAAGTTGACGTCGGCGGTTTTCCGTAAATGTGTGAGGAGGCCTTAAACAGGTTTTAACAGGCTACCCAATGCAAGGTGGTGAGCAAGACTCTCCAAACTTTTGGAAGGGAGTGTAGCCCTGGTTCTAGATTTAATCAACGTCATATAATAACTGGGTCATCTACACAGGTTACCCTATCTGTATAACAAACACTTTCTAGCGTTGTCTCAACAATTTTAACATAATGGTTAAGCACAGCCTTTGTTCTATTATCAAATGGATCAAACGTTTCATTAGTTCGGTGCCTTCTCTTAAATCCCCCATCTGAGTTCGAACAAATTATGCAGTCTAATAGAGACTGAGTTACGTTGATTTTAAGAAATGACGCTATCTCTATCAACTGCGATTTCAGGTTCTTTTTAAGCTGCTCGTAGTGAACTACAATGAGATGTCCCGGGAACTCTGTTAGCCATTCAATTGTTGAGTACATCCACCCATGCATGCTAACAAACGATGCAGAATTGGGCCTCTTACCATTCAGAAAAAGTCCCCAGTCTGAAAGAGATATGGAATGTAATTAAGTGCTAGAAACTGGTAATGGCCATTCTCTACAACTTGCGAGATGAAAATAAACCGATGTATTTGATTTTTACTGATAATCTTAATATTGTTGCTGTTAAACTGACGAAAATATCCAAGTGCTCGAACAACCTACAACCCATCATTTGCATTCGTTTGACTTCACTTCCTAAAAGAGAGGTTCGTCTTCTAGTTTATAACAAGACTCTATGCGCAGGGTCACCTACAGTCAGTAACTTTTCAAAACGTTTTAGATGTATAAAATATATTGTAAGATATGTTTACACGGGCCCTTTAATATATACATTCTTCAATGTTCAACTTTTGATACAGTTGATAAATCCACGAGCATATAAGTTTGCGATTACACGCATCATAGCATAAGCCTCTATGAATGAATTCTGAAAATAAAAATCATGCTGATTTAAAACATGTTTTACCTCGTTTTCTCTTATGAAAATAATTTGATGGGTCGACAACTTCCTTGTTATGTCCCATTCCAGATCTCCTGGTATATTCAGCCTTTAGCGCATCAAAGGGATTCCGTATGACTAGAATAGCTCTCTGGAAAGTTACTCCATCGTTGTGGTTCCATAAAGGTTCGTGTGTTTTGATCGCTACCACGGAGTCATCTTTTTTGCCCTCTCCCGGGAATTTTTTCATCAGTAAACCATCCCGATAGATGGAGCCAGTAAACGCACCTAATATCGTTGGAAAAAGGACGGGACTTTTAAAGTCTAAGGAAGGACGGTTAAAACATGCAATCTAACAAACTTCTACCCAGGAATACAGAGGATATTACTAAATACATTAATATTAATGAAGATATCTTTTTAAAGCGAAATCACATTATTGCAAAGGGTAAATTAAAATACATTTATACTTAGTGTGCAACTATGAAATTACCTGTACGTTTTTGTCAGTATAAATAATCCTAAGATATTTAAAATTCGTAATAAATATGTAATCAATTAAATAGACTGCCAAAGGGAAAGAACCAAAAAATGTTACACAGGGTTCGTACACACCTGGAAATGTCAGGGAAATTGATTTATTTTTCCAGGTGCTGGAAATGTCAGGGAATTTCAAAATTGGGTCAAAAAGGGCCAAAAATGTCAGGGAATTTTGAAACAGTAGATGTGTCAGGGAAATGTCAGGGAATTTTGTATCATTGTTGAAAAAATAATGTTCCAGCAAAATACATTTTAAGGCTATGATAGGATATCAATGAAATCCAAAATCGAGCAGTTAGTTGTTTCCACAAATTGCAAATCTTCATTAGGGTTGATTGAATGACATTAAATCTGGTTTTGTCTATTTGTAAGAACAGTGTGAACATTATACTGAAACCGAACAATAAAGAATATGTATAGATGGTTCAATACAATTATGCTTTTCCATGTAGTAAGTTAGTCTAAGGCCATTCAAAGTTATTTGCTGGTATATGTTTCATGGTTTGTTGAGGGGTTAATCTGAGGAGGGCGGAAGGTGAAAAACAAAAAAATCAGGGAACTCTTTACAGTTTAAAATTGTATTTATATTAAGGAGCTGTCTGTTCCGACAGTCCGGTCGTATTCAGTCTATTTATCTAACTCAAATATCAGTTGACAGATTTGGTTGGAATTGCCCCTCAAGGGAGTTGCTATTTTTCTTTAGTTTCAAGTTTCTGTTTTTATTTGGATTCATGTCAAAACATTAACAAAGTATAGTTTGAAATGCTTGAAATGCATCATATACATATTGTCAATTTTGAAAATTTTCAAAAAAATGCACCCCCTTGACACTTGCTGACTCTGCCCCTGTACATGTATGTTTACCTACGTAAATATGTATAAATAATAATAAATTGGTGAATAAGACGGCCTGTAGAAGTAAAGTTGAGTCATGAGAAATGGTACTAAATGACAAACCCAAAATATTTCATAAAGTCTTGTCTTTTAAATAATACAGTTGTTAGAGACTTTTTAGAGGCCCTGCAAGCTAGGAAAACTGGTTTGAAGAAAAAACCGGGTACCGGGTAGTAAATTCTCCATGCTGGGTTCAAAATTGGTACCCGGTACCCGGTCGAAAAAACCGGGTCCCCAAAAAACGAAAATTACGAATATATAACATACATATATAATAATGTATATCATTAGAAAACGTGTAAGATTTGTTTTGAATTTACAAAAATGTATGTAACTTCCTTCAAAATTGAGCTAGAAGCTTCAAATAAAAAGCATTTTAAGGCTCTTTTCTTCCTCTATCATCATGTTCATTGGTTATGGAGGGGGGTGCGATCGCACCATCACACCCCATCCTGGCTACGCCTGTGACATTGCAAAATACTTCATCAAAATAGCAAAGCAGTCTTATTAGATGGTTTGTGCCCAAAATGTAACAGCAAAATATGCAGAGAGTAAAAAACATGTCATTTCCCAAAAGTTCATAAATTAAATTAGGCAAGATTTAGCCCATCATGAGAAATCATGGCCTTCATGTTTCTCGTTGAAGGCAGAAATATGTGATGAGTATAAGAATGGATTTAACCATTTACTGTGTTCATGTAGACCTATGTAGCATAGTAGTCCCATTCAAATCTAAAACAAGGGCGGGATGTCTAGGAGCAAGATCATTTCATCAGAATATTAAAGGCCCCATGTAAAGTTTAAACCACTTTGGCTTATATTGTAGTCTTACCCAATGTTATCAAAGTGTGATATGTGAAACTTTTTTTTTAAATTTCAAAAAGTGGTTTTTGATAGACTTTTTGTTCCAAAATTTGTGAATTTATTTAAAACCAACTTTTAGAGGTCACTCATATCTTCTAATTAGCCACAATTCATACCAATGCATAGCATTTATCCTCCCATGTTTTTTGCCGAAAAAATTAAGAAAATCGGTTGATAAACAAGCGAGAAATGAACTTATCAGTGCATGAAAATGGTTCTGAGAAAAATGCATTTTAAAATTTTAGTTCTCATAGAAACCAATGGTACAATGACATCTAAAACATAATTTATTCTTCCTTTTAACCTGGTTAGACAATCAACATTGGTTTTTTATGAAAATCTAGTATATTTAGAAAAGATTGACATCGAAAAAAAAAATTCAATTTTTTTCAAAAAGTTTTTGTTACCATAGTGACATCACTAATGTTTCAAAATATTTTTGATAAGCTAAAACATTGAAGTGGCCCATTAAATATGACATTTTATTATTGAAATAGTGTGTCTTTTGTTCAATCTTTGCATTGGTGTTAAAAATATAATCTTTTTTGAAATGCATTAAGAAATATTTGATGATTAAGAAATTTCAACTTTTTTTGAAAAATGGCGGGAAATTTGAATATTTAAGAAATGAAATGCTCACAACTTTTTTTTCAAAAAAAATTTTTGTTCAAAAATCTCTAAAATCAATTTTTAAGTCCTGACAAATAGTAAATGAATGATAAAAAAATATTTTCAAACTTTAGACGGGGACTTTAAAACATACGTAGTATTTGCCCATTTAATTCGATTCTTGATAATCGTTTTTTCTGAAAGGTTACTAATTCACAATGAAGCAACGATGTATCTTTTAGAATCAATATTTTATAATGAAGTGTATTTTTAGAATTTAAATCTTAAATAAAATAGGATTAGAATGAAATGGATTACAAATACAATTTAATAAATGTGAAAAGTAGAAATGGTATACTCTTTTATGATCAATTAGTTTTGGCTCATATGGACAAACTAGTGACAAAAATTAAAGCCAACTTTACATTAAAAAGATAATCTTGCAACATTAACAAGACAAAATGCCACACAGGTTATCGCAAAGAAATGAATAGATAGGATTCAACCATTTACTGTGTTCATATATGTAGTGGAATTAGTCCAGTTCGTATCTATAACAAGAGCAGGGTGTCTAGGAGCAAAATTGTTTCTTCAGAATATTACAGTTATACTAATTGGCCATTTAATTCAAGTCTGAATGATAGTTTTTTTCTGAAAAGATACGAATTCACAATGACGAAACGGGGTATCTTTTAGAATCAATATTCTACAGGGTGGTCCAAAAAAGTGAACCCCTGCACTGGCCATATTTCCCTTATTACTTGCAGGAATTATTTTTTATTTTCACATGTTGTAGAGGAAGGTCTAAAATTTATGTTGATACCATACATTTTTCTTAGTCTTGAAATTTGCAGAAATTATAAGCCTTAACCAAACATTACTGACAATGGACAAATTGTGATTTTCAATATCCGCGATTTTTCAACCCTTTGACACCTTTCCCCTGTGAATTTTTTAAGCTGCAGTCTTAAATAACTAATATTCTCTGACTTTGTTCAATTTTAAATCTTGCACATTATGGCTTAAAACTAGCATCCTACATTTGTTAGTTGCAAAGTTATTGTGATCCAAAGAGATGTGCTAAGCTTCCACAGACGAAAACATTTTCCAGTGAAATCATGAACATACCCCTATATGATCTTGAAATGTCAATATCTTCATAAATCATGGACCAATTCTTATGATATATGGCTCAAAACATTGAATATTGGATTTTCTTTTGATTTTTTAAAGATATTTGATGAAGGGGTTATCAGATTCCTGGTGACAGGGGCAACTTCCTTCCATAAGAGGCCCCTCTCTAACTAGGTAACATACCCCTGAACTGTTGAACAGTTAAAAATGCTTCAAAATGATCAATGAAAGTGTGAAATGTGTTTTCTGCTTGAATAGTGTCCCTTTTGTCATATGGTAGGGTTTTAAACTTGTATCTCTAACTGAAAGCTGTTTAAGATCATCCAATGTGTTTCAACAATTTCCATGAATCACATTTGTAAAATTTTGTACAATATCTAATTTCCAGGCATGTTTGTTAAACGCTTGTAACTTTTTCAAAATTTAAGACTGAGAATAAATTATGGCATCAACCAAAACTTTAGACCTTTCTCAACAACATGTGATAATATGAGCCAATTCATGCATGTATTAAGAAAATTGTAGCCTGTTGCAGGGGTTCACTTTTTTGGACCACCCTGTATAATGAAGTATATTTTTAAAATCTAAATCTTAATTCTAACATGTGTGATGTCACAATGACGAGAACAATTGATTTATTGGTCTATATTGGGGTATGTATGACCTGTAAATTTCAATATAGACCAAAAAATGCAATGACTATTACAATTGCATACTGTACTCACCCCCTCTGAACCAATTTAGTCTCAATATAGACATGACAGATGTCAATATGTGACGTCAGTATTTTGCAAACTATTTAGCTAGGAGGAAATCCGGTAAATAGAATGTCCAAAACATTAGAATTTTTCAGATTGAAAATAATCAAATCGGAAGAAACTTAGGTTTTATCATGTTAGAATCGTAACAAAGACCTCGATTCTATGATTTATGGCAAATATATGACCTCAAATTTTATTCTGCCCATTGCCAAAGAGTAAGACCTCAATCCCTACGCGATTTCGGTCTTTTAACAATGAACAGAATAAAATTTTCGGTCATATATTGCGCCATAAATCATAGAATCTCGGTCTTTATTCCTTAAATAAAATAAGATTAGTGTCAGAATGAACTGGATTGCATATTACAATAAAAAAAAGAAATGAAGGAACAGTATACTCTTTCATGGCCGTCAGATGGGGGAGGGGGGTGCGATGGGTGCGACACCCCCCAAATAAATTTTGGGGGAATTTTTTTTTTTTGAAAATTTTTTTTTTCAATTTTTTTTCCATTGACTCATACACTTTGAAAGTGCCCAGAAAGCACCAAATAGCATTTAAAAATTGTAAAAGTTTCTATGGGGAGTGGGCCATCCCCCCACACCGCTTGGTTTGTGACTCACAACTGAGTTTGTTATTGTGTTACTCACTACTGAGTTGTTATTCTATTACTCACCGCTTAGTTGTTGCACCAGATGCCTGGCCCAAGTGTTACCGGACCCAGGAAAGCTAACCAGAGCAGTCTTTGGCCATCCTTTAGAAAATGAAAGAGGTTGACAATCATTTGATGTCTGCAAAGGATTGTGTTTTTTGGTTATGGACAGATTTGTCGTTGGCGCTACTTGCCGGCTGTACCCGGTACAGTTTGTCTCTGGTACTATTTTCTTAATGTCACGTTTCTTCATTTTGTGACTATCATGGTATAAACCATTCTTATTTTCTTTACTGACTGTTTGAGAATTGTTGGCCGTATTTGATAATCTTTTGCCATCCCTAAGGCTAGTATACAATGCGTTGTCTGAAAGAACAATGAAAATGGCAATGTTTTAAATAATTGATGTATATGGATGACCTATATAATATTGCGACCCGATAATCAATAATATCTATTATAAATAATTCATTCGATTCTAGGCCTATTGCTTGTGTTACATAATGTTTTGCTAAGCAACTACACGACTATACCCTATATAATCTTCAATATCAGGTGTAAACTGTTGAAGGCAGTGTTTGTTTTTAAGAATTTGCTAATGCGTTTGTTATGTTCCCATATAATGCCGAAAATAATTTAGAACGTTTACGTAATTGATGCAAACATGCCCACGTCCATCCAAATTGACGTCTATCAATACAGAATTTAGAATAGGTCTCAGTCACATTTGCTCTACGGCGGCCGTAGCTTCGCAAAATCGATATAGATCGAAAATCTATACCGTACTACTTATTTCTACATGTTGTGCTAACAACATATTTCTCTTGATTTTGAACCCTGCGAACCCCCCCCCCCCCTCCTAGCTACGGGCCTGAAAATAATCTGGAAATTGAATGAGATTCTACCTTTTTGAAATCAGCTTGGAACCTATGAGCAGTTTCGAATCCAGAACATTTTACTCAACATTGAGTCTAGACGAGAATATCATGATCAGCTCCAGACTAAGGTCTCAAATTTTGTTAAAACTATCTCAACAAAAGAAAAGTTGTTGTACATTATGTGAGAAACAACTTGGTCCATGCTTCAATCCAACAACAAAAAAACTTTACAAAAAATTAAACGGGGGGTGGTTGGTATGTTCGCAAGATATTTGATCCCATTCAAATTATCCAGAAGTTATACATTTAGCCTATTCAAACAATAAATCACGCAACGTGTTTTTATAGTTAGACATGAAATTCTTTAGTTAGAGTTTCAAAATTTTTAATTTTTTCGTGTCCTTTTGAACCCGGAAAATTAAGTAGCTGTAATTGTGAATATTTCCTTCACAGTATTTATCGTCAAGATTTCTTGGTTGCCTACACATGGGCTTTCAACAGAAGCTAGAGCAATAATCCATCGGCGGCATTATTCTATTCTACATTATGATTAGACTATATGGAAATGTTTTCCACAAGAACGTTTGGGCAACTTTGACACATTTCATGTATTTAGACAGTTCTCTTGCTTTCGTCGCCACATGACAACTTTTGTTGACAAGTATCATCCCGATAATCCTTTCAAATGGTACATTGCAAACAATTCAATATATACGCCGTATACTAGGCCTTTACCACGAACAGTGTCAACACCAGTGTCGTGTGTCCACTGGAAGTTTTTTGTATCCGACAGATATTAAATTATTAGTTTGAGGAAGGATCACAAAATTAAACATATAACACTTCAATTAGGAAGTAAGGTACTATTAATGCTATAAAAAGTAGTTTCAGCCATGTTAATTTTTCCAAAAATGTCTAATGGCAGAGAAGCATAAAAATAGAAGAGGCCACAGATATGATAGCTAAACTACAAAACAAACTAAAATATAGAGGTATATCCAGAATTATGGCAATGTCTATACTTTCTATACATTGTCTATACTTTCTATACTTTCGATCTCCTTTTTCATACTATCTGCCTTCGACGTTTCTATACTTTCGAACTGCTTTTTCATACCAACTGCCTTTGACAAATCAGATGTCTATAGTTTCTATACTTTCGAAATGCCCTTTCATACTAACTGCCTTTGACAAAGCAGATGTCTATAGTTTCTATACTTTCGATCTGCTTTTTCCTATAACTGTCTTAGACAAATCAGATGTCTATAGTTTCTATACTTTCTATACTTTCTATCTGCTATTTCCCAGAACTGTCTTCGACATATCAGATGTCTATACTTTCTATACTTTCGATCTGCTTTTTCCCATAACTGTCTTCGACAAATCAGATGTCTACAGTTTCTATACTTTCTATCTGCTTTTCACAAAACTGTCTTTGAAAAATTAGATGTCTATAGTTTCTATACTTTCTATCTGCTATTTCCCAGAACTGTATTCGACATATCAGATGCTTTCGATCTGCTTTTCCCCATAACTGTCTTCGACAAATCAAATGTCTATAGTTTCTATACTTTCTATACTTTCGATCTGCTTTTCCCCATAACTGGCTTCGACAAATCAGATGTCTATAGTTTCTATACTTTCTATCTGCTTTTCCAAAATGTAAAGTATAGAAAGTATCGAAAGTATAGACATATGGAATTCACCAAAATCAAAAGATGTATAGACTTTAGAGAGTCCAATCGTCTAAGACTGAAAAAAGTATCATTTAAAAAAAGCAGTTCGAAAGTATAGAAAGTATAGAATATGCCATAATTTTGGATATACATGAAAATATACAAAAATTAGGACATGTATAAATGTTTCTATTTTTACATATCCTGTTTCAATATATGGTCATTTAATTGCTTATATTTTAGGTTCAAAGTAGTTCCAAACATTTAAAATTTTACTGTACATCGGTCATTTGGAATAATAATTCCCATGCAAACAGATGGTTTTGAATATTAGGCTTCTAGTCTTACATTTTCAGTCAATTTTCAAAAATTGCCAAAGATATGGTCTTGTGAGATCCTGATTGTGTATCAAACGGAAAGTCCCCTTGCCGTGACCATATGAAACAATTTAGTACGTGTAGAGACAAATACGTCAAGACGGGCGTTGATTCTATCAATGAGACCTCTAATCACGTACCTGCTCTATCCAAGATCTTCTGGACGCTTATTAACATCATCATATACATCATCAAGCATAGTATCATAAATATCCGTATAAATGATCGTCTTTTCATGCTACTGTATCCTTAGTTATTTTTGCAATTTCCTTCAGATTGCTACTGCAACTTCTGAACTAATAAAAATTAAAATTGTGAATATGTAGACTCAGGAATTATCATTATATACAAACAGATTACAGAGGCATAAGAGCTCTCATAAACGATTATTTATTTATAATGATTACGATCAATATTCCATTGCATGTGTGTATATTCATATGCGTGTAGCGTTTGAGATTTACAAGGGCCAATTCATGCTGCTTCCAGTAAGTACATAGTTAAGGTAGTTTAGCATGATGACAAATTTTGGTGGATTTCCAATCATCTTCCTATAGCAGAGCCGGTCGGTAGGTTGGTCAGTTGGTTAATGTATGTTTTTCTATTTTATGAACTTTTAAGGATCACTCCAATTGTATGAACTAGGTCAAAAACGTCCTTCATTTTTATTACCCTTGTCAATTTCTATTATTGCCCGCTAAAACAATTCAAATTTAGATCGTTATTTATATTTTCTATCGTAAATTAATTCAAAAGCTAAATCCTAAGTACTTAATAATAACTATAAGTAGCACAGCTGTACCCAGCTAACTCTTGACACTAAACGTAGCAAGCAAAAAATTATGTTGAAATGAATTGTGAACAATTGTTTGACAGCTACTATTTTCTGGTTTTGTCTTTGTCGCCCCTTCAATACTATGATTAGTGTTTATAAATAGATATGTATCTCACGATTGTTTTATACATATAATTGTAGTTTTTGAACCGTAAAGTGCATTCACAGTATGCACCCCTGGTGATAGCCAGTGATCCTTAGTGATTTTTAAATTACCTCCTTTCCAATGAAGTTCTAATACACCGATGGAAAGCTGAGAGTGTCTGTTTAAGAATCGAACCTCTATTCGAATTTTCACTGAATGCAAAGTTAGATATTAACCCTTTCTATCATTTGAAGCAGTATACAGTAAAACCTTCGAACAGGGAATGCTCTTGGGACTTAAGGAGTTTCCTTGTTCAGAGGTTTTCCCTATAGAGAGGGGCCGCACTTTCAGCAAACTCAAACTTGCCGAATAAGCATGTTTGTATATGGGCATTTAAGAACTGAATTTCAAGTTTCATCAACCCCATTTTATATCATTGATAATCTAGAAGTTAACAGTAAAAGATTTAAAAATGTGGCTCAACATGAGAGATCGCCGCTCCTACCAAGTTGTCCCTGTATCATTAAGGTCTGGCACGCGTCCGTCCTCTGTCCTCAGCGCGTATGTTAGGGTTAAATTCATTTTTTTGATTTTTTGACACATAAGTTTACTGTTTTTATGATATTCATTTTTTTATTTTTTTGATAGACAAATCTAATTGCATTTATGAAATTCATTTTTTGTAAATTTTTTGATTTTTTGACACAAAAGTTATCTATGGAACTCATTTTTTTGATTTTGTTACATACATATTCATGGTCTTAAGGTAAGGGTTAAATTCATTTTTTGATAATTTTCATTTTTTGATATTTTTGACCCAAGTTCTGGATATACATGCACTTTCGGTGGTGAAAAAATGCTGGAAATTGGGGAAGGCAAAATTCAAAGCAGTTATCAAATAAATATAAACATTATTTCTACTGTCAAAAAAGTATTTATTTTTAGAAATAGATAGTATCTTTTAGATGAAAATGTTATAATTATACAATGTGTAAGTTTTTCCAATACCCTAAATAACACTAATTCCATTTTGAACAGTGCATTTTCAATCTGAGTGGAGCAAAACAGTACAGCATTCTATGACCCTCATATTGAAGTTTGGAAAACATCAGTAATTCTTGCAATTTTTGTGTTACCCTGCCAACTGAATCAGAACAAATAAACAAATAAAAATGAGGAGATAAAATACACTAAAAATACAAATATATACAAATAAAATGTATTTTTTAATTTCTATTTGTCAGAGAGGTAGGCCGTATAATCAGCATTTTGTTATGTGCTTAAATCCTTTTCATACACTGTAAAACATGCAAAATGTCACCACCTGTCATTTGTTACAGACGCCAAATGCCAGATGCCAACCGCCGTCACAAAAATGGAGACTATAATACATGGTGACATAAAAAGGAATAGAATTCAATTCAATCGCCGACAAGTTTGATTTTGTCATCTGGTTGACAGTGGGAGGGGAACGTGCAGAGTAAATCCATTAGAAAAACTACCATTCTACTAAAATGAAATAGGTACTGTAAGTGTAGTTCAATTTTGTCGTGCGTGAACGTGTATTAGTAATTCGTCACCTGCAAATACACCCATCAAATTCCCATTACACATGGGAAACATTCCATTGCTACAAATTGACGCCAAAATAGATGGGTGATGGGGGATGTAGATGGGTGGCCGTCAATTAAATAACAGTGAATGTTTCCCTGATGTACTGGAAATGTGATGAGCATATTGGTAGGTGAGGAAACACTCTAAAATGTTCACAAACTACCAAATAAAACAACTACAACTACCTGCTTTTTGAACAAAAATACGTTCTCCCTTTAAAATGAATTCTCATTTCTACCGTTATTTTGAATGAAAATGATGTTCAAACTGTTTTTCTTTCAAGTAAATGAGTCTTATCTTGTCCACCTTTTGGATGTTTCACTACAGCAGTTTGCTTGTGGATAAATAAGCCAGCATGGGAGCTCACCACTGGGCCCTTAAAACCTAGGGGTCAATTCAAAAATCACCAGTCATCTCTAGTTAAATAGAGAATAGTTATCCTGTATTCTGATTGGCCAGAACATGACATAGAATGCATATGCATATATGTGGATTGTTTACCACATTGTGGCTGATTTTCATATTCTATCCATACAAGTACATAATATTGTTGTATCATTTCAATGTCATGAGTTCATGAAACAATATTGCGAGTCCTGTATTCAGTGTGACTGTTTGTTTTGTGTTTTATTTTCTGACTATTCCTTTATCTGATACTTCCCTTCATTTATTTATATGACTTGTCCCACTAGTCCATATTTCACAATAGCTAGTCCCATATTCAGTGCGACTATTCCTTTATTTAATACTTCTTTTCATTTAGTTATGTGAGTATTATTTGTCCCACTAGTCCGTATTTCACAATTGCTAGTCCTTTGTTCACATTGTTTCTGATAATCCCTGAGGAACTTGACAACATCTGGTGATTTCATGAGTGACTGGAAATAAATTGAACATTTCATTCCATGTTCTCCATACATGGCTAGTCACGAGCATATAATACGTATGATGGTAAGTAGTGGTGAAATAATTCATGTAGCAAAGACAGTTCAAACTTAGCAAATCTAAAACCCATTTAATTTGAATCTCACAAAAAGTGTTCAGATTGACAGGTATTTACATTTTGAGGTTTTTCAACGTCCACAGTGGCAGATTAAAAATTCAGATAAGAGGGGAATTAAGATAGAAGAGGGTGTTCATATGTACAGGTTTCGCTTTATGTCATTTAATAAATTACAATTCTGGTTGGACAGAAGATAAAATATGCATATCTTTAACCTGAGATTGAGACTTCAAGATTTTAATGCGATATCTAGCAAAGCCTAGAAGTTGCAACCTTTTGCATGTTAGTTTGATAATGAGACTCTGACACCATGTAACAAGGCATTAACATGACAAAATGTCACCACCTAGTTGCTCACAATATTATGAGGTCAATCTTCGGTCAGATTTAAATTTCTGATAACTTGTTGAAGATGATTTTGAAAAATAAATTGATTAATTTGAGGCAAGTTAAAAAAAGACCTTTTTTGACCCTGAGAAGGTCATTGAAGGTGAAATCTCAAATCTAAATCAGATTTGAACTTCTGAGAACTTGCAGATGATTTTTGAAAAAAATTGGTCAATTTGAAGCAAGATGAAAAAGACCTTTTTGACCTTGAGAATGTCACTGAAGGTCAGATCTTTTTTGGCCTTAAGGATGTCATTGAAGGTCAAATCTATAGTCAGATTTGAACTGTTGTGAACTTGTAGATGACTTTGAAAAAAAATTCTATTCCTTTTTTGACCTTGAGAAGGTCGTTGAAGCTCAAATTTCAAATTTAAAGTCAGATTTGAACTTCTGATAACTTGAACATGATTTTGAAAAATAATTGGTCGGAAGCAAGTTGAAAAATACCTTTTTGACCTTTTTTTACCTTGAAAAGGTCATTGAAGGTCAAATCTTAAATATAAAGTCAGATATGAACTTCTAAAAACATGTGGATGATTTTGAAAAAAAATGAAGTCAGTCTAAACAGTATTTGTTAAGTTATTGGAAGTTGTAAGAATTACAGTACTATAGCAAATATGTACCTGGTATTTTTAAAATCGCATTCTCTTAAAAGCACACAGTTCCAATGAGCACACATGCAACTCTTATGATGAATATGGTCTCAAGAAAACACAAAGTTGAACACATTAGTTTATTAAGATTATTTTGTATATGTGCCAATTTGAATCTCTCATTATCCCCTCAATTTCAATTTTGGGAGTGCATATTGCGCTCACCAGATAGAATATGGTAAATGCAATTTTAGTGGCCCACCCCATAATATATTATGAGGTTATATAATGGTTGATCACACTACCCTACCTCGATAGCGCATGCGCGAATTTTTGGGCTTTCAACCACGTCGCTTTTGAGTATTTCGACTGCTTAGTCAAAAGGTTAATACGTTTGGTGCTCGGAGTGAGTCAATATTGCTATTCGCTGAACTTTAGTGGTGCAATAGTGAAGTCCATGTTCCAAGTTATATGATAGTTGAAGAAAGAATGTAAATAATATCGTTTTAAATTTTAAAATATTTAATATGTCATAGTACACGGTACACAGATGCAAAAGTTGATCAATACAGGGTACAAGGAATGTAAATTGCTCAATAGTACAGGGAGCGAGAAAGTAAGCTGATTATACAGACATACTATGTCCCGATCTCATGTACATTTACGTTGCAAACAGTGAAAATAATGCTAAAAAGGCCGCCTGTTGATGCTTTGAGGTGTCATCAATTGTTATTTAATCCAAATAAAGTAAACATTATTTTGTAGATTTAGACACGGGCTTTCAGGTCGTATACTAGTATGCATTTTAGTCATTAAAAAGAACGCTAGATTATACGTGTTACTAGGGTATCAATTTAAAATGAAATAACGAAATTAAATATGAACAAGTTAATGATATGATAACTATCCGCTATCAGGATTAATGACTATCCGCTATTCAGAATAATTAAAATTGCCTGAACTACATGTAAAGAATCGTTCTATATAATCCTTGAATGGTCTAATTCACTACCGTCCTCAAAAAACGATCATTTAAAATATTTTGTTCAAAATACCCCCACCATGCCACGAATTGAGAGCATTTTGTTCTTCACGATTTTCGCTGATATGACATCGTATTTCTCTATAATTGTAAAAAAACTAATACCAGATCGATGTAGTCTTATATGACGTGTTGAATGTCAGATGTTTTTGGATGGTATCTGCTCCAGTGATTTTGCATTTAATCATTAAACGCTCATCACAAGACACCTCGAAACAAACATTATCCTCTTTGTGACAAGAGGAAAAATGTTTCACAACATGTTATGCCTTACGGCAAAGTAAAGATACATTTCTGGGACGACGTTTTTTGCATCTTAAGATTTTAGAAAAACAATTAATTCACAAAAATACAGTTGAATAACATACTGGAAAACGTATCCACATATAACACGATGACACGCAGTTTAAATAACAGTTAACTGTTTTTTTTGTTACATATCAATGTAACATTTTCGAAGGGAAACTTGCATGTTCCCTGTACGTTGATAGATTTACTGAAATGTATCGTGTATTGCATTGAGTTTTGCTTCACTGCGCCCACTATTATCTATCTTTGCCTATAGTGGTTTTTTGCCAACAATATTCTACAAACTGCTTGATTAATCAATTCTATGTCTGGTAGAATACTAGAAATAAATATAAAATGTATTTTACATTCAGAAATATGGAATTAAACCCACGTCCTCCATTTGCAACTTAGCTGTACCCTGTTTCCTTTTTAAACGTGGTCACGTGGTAGGGTAGTGTGTTGATAGTGCTTTATATCGTGTTTATACTCAAGTGAGTATATGATATATTCACAAGTGACTGAGGGAACGAGTATATCATATACTCACTAGAGTATAACGATCCATTATGTGATCTTATTATCCCACCCTAATCTTTAATCAATAATCTTTAATCAATAAAAGGTTAATCAAAATTCAGCAGTTGTATATCAAGTTGACGATTTGTATACGCCGCCCAGGAGTTGAATACGCTATTCAGGAGTTGTATATCATTCTCAAGAGTTATGTATAGATGAGTGTTGGTTTTATATTGCAGTTTAATACAATCATATAAAGCTCTTAGGGTGGGATAACAAGAAATATATCATACCAGTTTTTTCTCTATGAGAATTTTCTCCATCATTTGAGGAACATTTATACCAGAGAGCACATCCTGGATGGATTCCCCACTCTAGAATATAAGACATCAACAGTAAATAAATCTTCACATTCTAGCCCCTTGCCAGCTTTTGCCAAGGTCGAGTTCAATTTTTTAAAATTCCATTTCCATGGGTTTCACATTTTGCTATTTTTGCAAAATCACACAGAATGGTGAGAATTAGAGAGATTCTTAGGGGCAAAGGGGTGAGGACCCCTTAACCCCCCCCCCCTCCCAAACTTCTGGCTTGACAATCCAAAGTACAGCATTATGTTTTTTCACTTAAAAGAGCCCCAATAATATGAATTCTGATTTGAAAGGCAGTGCATGTGTTTATCAGACTTATTGATATTACATTACCTCGTTCATGTCATGGTGTGACTGTTTATTAGTTAACCTTCTGAAGACATCTGATGTTGAACCTGTGGTGGTCACCATTGTGGCATTACATCCAGTACCTATGGTGCTAACATCTATATCAGTAGGCTCCTTCACAATGAAATGTGTTCCAGGTCCATTTTTCATTCTTGTCTTTGCGCTGCTTGTCATTTTGAATCAAATCTTTATATTTGATTTGAATATACTTTAGTATTCAATCAGGTTTACTTTACATAATATAAGTTTTAGAGTGAATCCAGAATGTCCAAAAATACTGATGGGGCTAAATATTTCAGTTCAGTTTCAGTTAACTGATGTAATGTTTAAGCTTTCTCAAGTTCAGGTTTACTTGGGGCTGCAATCTCTTCCCCAACCATAAAGTCCTCCTGAAATGTTAAGTAAATATAATGAAATCATGCGCCTATATTTTTCTCTATGTTTGAATTAACTACTGGCTTATCTTCTAAATATTTCATTTAAACCACTGGGAAGAATTGAACTGATAGAACTATGCAGACACAATTTGAAGAAAGCCCAGAACTCCAGGAGTGAGGAGGAAAATTATCAATAAATGGTGTACAGTATAGATGGTTTGGCAGCATTTCCAGTAAGGGGATAGTCTTGGATGAAACTTCAACCTAGGTGATAGCTTCGCAGAGTGGTAGGAAGTTCTTTTTTGAGGGGTTAGCCCCCCCCCCCACCCCCCAAAACACCCCACCCTGAGGGAAAACATGTTCACACTAAATAACCTTAGATATTTTGATGTTTGTAGATGACATACATAGATATTATATATATATGAATCATTTGCAGTATAATTGATGCTGATCACTCCTAAAGAATTTGAATATTAGTACATAGTATGTACCCCAGGGGGCAAATTCGTGACCTATTTTCTTATTATTTTGATGGTAATTTTTCAATTAGACAATGTAAGAGGTTGAAAAAAATCATTGGAAGTGCCCAATAGCAGGATTAGTAATCCTGAAAGATGCAAAGCAATTGAAGAGGTAGGAGCTGAGAAAAAAAACTGTGGATTTTTCGAAAAATTTGACATTTTTGACAGCTGGATTTTGTGTATGACTATAGCTGACCCCTTTAGTTTCTAGCTCCATCCCTCTAGGATGATATTATGGTTTAATAGTGTGGAACTAAGATGTAAAACATAAATTAGATGGGTTTTAAGGAAGTTGAAGGTTTTAAACAAGTCCAAAATTTGAAAAATTGTAAATATAAGGTTTCATATTTACAAATTACAGATATAGCCATGGCTGACCCTATAGTTTCTAGATCCATCCTCTGTGATGATATTTATGGTTTTGCAGTGTGAGACTAAGATATAAAACACGATTTAGATGGGTTATAAGGAAAATAAAGGTTTTAAACAAGTCCAAAATTTGAAAAGTTGTAAATATAAGGTTTCAAATTTACGAATTTCAGGTATTGGGATGACCCTTATAGTTTTTACATCCAAACCTTTTTGATGAAATATATAGTTATAGAGTGAGGAACTAAGATGTAAAACATACCCAAGATGAATTTTAAGGAAGTTTAAGGTTTTAAACAAGTGCAAATTTGAAAAATTGAGAAATATCAGGTCTCAAATTCACATAATTCAGATACAGCCTTGGATGAGCCCTTATAATCGAAGGTTAGGAGCATAAAAGTATCAACTATGATCTCATAAGTTAGAGACCAGGTGTACAATATATTCCTACTGCAGCAGTTAGTCTTCTGCAACAGATGGAGTGAAAAGTCATGAACTAGAGGAGATAGGGGTAATTTCAGACACAGGGCATTGCCAGACGATCTTCAATAATTCTTTGTTTTATATGGTTTCTTTATTGAAACTTCATATTAGACACATCATATTATCAGGCCTGTCAACTGTCGCGCAATTTGCGTATTTGTCACGCATTTGCTGAAGAATTTGAAGTCACGCCAGTTATTTTTGCGTGACAGAAAATGTCACGCAAATACGCATTTTACCTGGTAATTGTCAAGCAAAAATATTTGTGTAGAAAATTTTCTAAAAAAGATCGTCTACACAGCAAAAATACGAACGACGGGAAAAAAACGTACGTATTTCGTTCGGACTTTTCACGCGAATTACAGATATGTCACGCATTCCGTTAGAAATTTTTTGTACCTACCCCCCCCCCCCCCCCCCCCCCCCCCCCCCCGTTGATTGATTTTTGAAACGCGAGCGTAGCGAGCGCAAAAAATTTGAGGTGTTGAAATTTTGGCAAGATGTAATAAACTTTAAACCAAGGTGTTGAAAACTTTGATCAAGGTGTTCAGATTTGGACCAAGGTGTCCACATTTTGAGGGGAGGTGTTCAACATTTCCAAGTCACTCATGTTAGGTGTTCCCAAGTTGACAGGCCTGTATTATAGATGTGGTGCTATATATTGTAAAAAGTCAAACAATGCCCCAGATTTTCACCCGCTACCAAGGGTTTGTCCGGGAATGCCCTGTGATCCAGAAACAATAGGGGTCAGCCATGGCTATACCTGAAATTTGTAAATTTGAAACCTTATATTTACAAATTTTCAAATTTTGGACTTGTTTAAAACCTTGAACTTCCTTAAAACCCATCTAAATTATGTTTTGCATCTTAGTTCCACACTGTAAATCCATAGATGGTTTTAAAATGTGCCACTATTGTTGACGGATGGATTGATGGACGCACTGACGGACGGACGGACGCACGCACGCATGGACAGACGGACAGACAAGTGACTGATTGCAAAAGCTCACCATGTGAGCTAATAAAAAGTAAGATTAATAATAAGCTCTCTTGGTAAGCTAAAAATCATTCCATTTCGCCATTAACACAGTTCTTATCAGAAATTAAATTCAGAGTGGAAATAGAATTTAAATCTAGCGCATTTCAAGAAATAATATCCCTTCATCGTACTTACTGGATCGTATATAACTTTAACTATAAGTGAGCAGCTTGGACAGGTTGCCTCCTCCTCTCCAGTCTCAAGTTCCTCCTTGGAAAATAAAATAATGATAGTGTTTTGGATATGAACTATTGGCTATTATCTATTTAATATTTTGTTCATGCTTTCACATAATGTTTTTGAGTCATATAAATTACCTTAATAAAATACCTTAGATGCTTTGGAATCGACATAGATAGACCAGAACAACGGCAACGCCATAGCGTAGCGAATCCCATCGAACAGAAATGGCTGGCATTTTTAGAAACAAAATATATAGCAAATATCATAAAATAACACACATAAGAAAGGCCACCATTTTCAAAATGGTTGCTCACAAGCCAAGTTATCATCAGAAAAAGTAATATGCTTTTTTTTATCGTATTCACATACCAAATATGAACAAAATCGCTCCACTACTTTTCTAGTTATAGTAAAATACTTTAAAATGGTGGCCATTTTTCAAAATGGCCGCCTTCTACCAAAAGTGTCATTAGACAGTGTGCCATGCTTATAGTATTCACATACCAAATATGAACAAAATCGCTCCACTACTAATTTTCATGTTACAGCAAAAATCGTAAAATAATGAGTAAAGGCTGAGTAAAATACGTTTAAATATGTTTAAACCTTCTACCAAAAGTGTCATTAGACAGTGTACCATGCTTATAGTATTCACATACCAAATATGAACAAAATCGCTCCACCACTTTTCGAGTTATAGTAAAATATGTTAAAATGGTGGCCATTTTTCAAAATGGCCGCCTTCTACCAAAAGTGTCATTAGACAGTGTCCCATGCTTATAGTATTCACAAAGCAAATATGAACAAAATCGCTCCACTACTTTTTGAGTTATAGTAAAATATGTTAAAATGGCGGCCATTTTTCAAAATGGCCACCTCCTACAAAAAGTGTCATTAGACAGTGAGCTATGCTTATAGTATTCACATACCAAATATGAACAAAATCGCTCCACTACTTCTTGAGTTACAGCAAAAATCGTAAAATAACGAGTAAAGGCGTCCATTTTTCAAGATGGCTGCCATATGCTTCTTTAATATCTACATTTCTAGCTTTATCAATGTCCTATATAATTTTTTTACATTTAAAACATATTGCTATTACAGTTTTACATATTGCACCTAATTTACTGCAAAATCAGCACTAAAATGGCCGCCATTTTGAAATGAGCGGCTTTCGTGCAGAACTTCTACCCCCATGAGGTATATGTGTACAAAACATGAACAAAATCGGGCCAACAGTATTTGAGTTATTGGCCGGACGGATGGACGGACGGACGAACAGATGGATGGACGGACAGACGGAGGCGTTCCCTATATCCCTCCGAACTCCGTTCGATGGGATAAAAATTTTGTTTCCTAAATTGTTCTGAAATGTGATTAAAATACTAAATGTATAGGTCGACTGACTAAAAAGACGGGCATCTGGCACAAGGTCTCGAACAAGACATGTCAATCTTAAAATTCCTGGGAAGTTTACCCTTCTATTAGTTTACCCAGTAGTTATTTTGGCCACCCACACTCTTAGATTGAGCCAAGCATTGCATGATTTGAAGCAATTTTTACCAATTTTGCAAACGGTTACTCAGTTACTCTTGCACTTTACATAGTTCAACTTATATGCGAATACACCTGGCCCTGTACATGAATTTTATCCTTCACTTGTTTTAAGGAAAGGGGAATACCCCAGAATTCATAGATGCACACTTCTCTGATGTAAACTAGATCATTGATTGGCCAAGGGGGGTTCATCTGGGGTCATGGGAAAGAACCTCTTCTTTGTCTTAGTGTGAGAAAATCTGATCCGACCAATTCACTGGACATTGTGTGGGAAAAGAATACATACCAGCTCTGCCAAGGAGTTTGCTTATTCTAGTAAGAGACCTGTCAATCGTTGTGAATGAGCAATGTTAGTTAATTTTATATAAATAAGTCCTTGTCTTCAAAACATATATGGGGGTGTACAGTTGTAAAAGGTAAACTCCCCTCTAAAATTTTGAAAAAAATATAAAGGTACACTTCCCTTAAAAGTTTGCTCACGAAAGTATCACTAGAAAAGTGAAAATAATGAAAACAACAGGCAAAATTAATGGAAATGATTAAATTAACATGGAAAATTTGAAACATCCCTTAAAACAACAGGCGATTTTGTGAAAACAACATGAAAATCGCCTGTTGCTAATGAAACCCTTGAAATGAAATAGGTACACTCCCCTCCAAAAGTTTTTAAACAATTGCAATCTAGTTTCAGTCCCCTCCAACATAATACACTGTATAATCGTTATATGCGCACTCCCCTCCAAAAGTTTGGAAAAAATTTTAATAGGTAAATTCCCCTCTCAAAAGTTTGTAAACAATTGTAGTAGGTATACTACCCTCTAAAAGTATGGAAACAATTATAGAGGAACACTCCCCCAAAAAGTTTGGAAAGAAATGTAGTAGGTACACTCCCTCCAAAAGATTGGAAACAATTGTAATACAAGGGCCGATCAAAAAGTTTCTTACTGTTGGCTCTAGATTTTATAATAAGAGGAGCTGGATGCTCAAACTTCTACATAAGACAGGGTAGTAAGTTTGCTTGAGACTGTCTGAGTTTCATTTAAATTGGTTCATTGCTAGTGACACAGAGTCAATACATATTTTCAATGATTGAATTAGGTGGAGCAGTGTTTTTTATAAAAAATTGGGCTAAGCGCAATTATAGATGCACTACCCTCCAATAGCTTTTAAACTCTCCAAATTTTGGGATGTTGGAAGTAATGCATTAATTTGAGAGAACTTCAATGCAGTGAGTCATTGTGAGTCAATTTTTTTCATAAATGCGCGCATCAGCACATTATTTGGCTTCATTGGCACAAGATAAACGTTATATGCTAGGTATATGTTATTTTTAAAATTTTATAACATCATTTAATATACAACTACCTGACAGAGGCAAATAACCACCTGAAAATTGGGCAGGTAGTTATTTTGGCACCAGGCAAAAAATGTGAGTGTTGAGGCCTGAGTGTGGACCAAAAATAAACCTCAACCATCAAAAGTTGTCGCAATGAGCTTAATTCTAAGTTTCATGTCTCAAACTCTCCCAAGCGGTAGAAAAATAATTCCTGTTCAGTTTAAGGTACAGCTGGAAAGTAACATTTTGGTAAAGAATTGCTATACAGTGCATATATCAGGTAGAAAATAACATGTGCAGGTATAGCAATTTTTTACCAAAATGTTACTTTCAAGCAGAACCTTAAGTTGCACAATAAATGAATCCAAAGCTTAATACCTGCAAATGATGGATAAAAACCCTACCAAATCGAACAAATGTTTTCATGAATCGCCATCTCCGTGAGCCAAGGAGGATTGACTCCCAGAATGCAACATCAGTAACCTTATTTACTCGTGACAGATTTCAAAATGGCGGAATGGCATTTTGAAAGTTGGCATGTGTCATGTTGCATTCTGGGAGCCAATCCACATTGCGGCGTCATCAGGCTCCAAAATAACCTCAACAATTGAAGAATCCACTTCAAATTTTAAGTTCTTATTTGTCATTATGGACACAAATTCCAATATATCTGGACTTACTAGGACGGAGAAAATAGAGCACTGAATTCACTGAGGTAAGAATTCATTACATGTGCGACAGCATGTAATTTTCATAGCTTTTGTAATTCTTTATGTTCCCCACTGTAGCAATTTTTTACGAAAATGTTAAGCTTATTTTCCAGCTGTAATCTAGTGTAAGCTTACCTTAGGGTTACCTGTATTTTACAGGCAGGCAGGCGACCCAGGCGGGCACTTTTATTTTTTTCATAGAGGTGGTAGGATCAAAAACACATTCCAAAATTATTTTATTGCATGATTATGTTTGAGATTCTGCCATCGTTTAATATATATATATATTGCTAACCACAATTGGAAAAAGTTCCCTACATGAATTAAAAGTAACAAATTGTCGTTGAAAATATGAAATCGTGTTTACTGAACATGTGTAGGAGACTATGAATCCACTCTGAAATCCCACTATTTATGTGATGCTAAGTTGAACTAGCCTAGATTGTAAGCTTAACTTTTTACCAAAATACAGTGTAGATCTATTATTTTTCGAATCCGAAAATGGTCCAACAAATCTTTACAGTGTGCGGTGTAACGGTTTAAAACAACGTATCTCATACTTGAGTGGGTTTGGGGTAAATATCAACCGGGAATATATATCGTATCTGAGGAGCGGGCAGGATATATTGTATATGTCCCGCTCCAGGCCAAATGCGGGCAGATATAATATATCCATCCCGCTCTCGGGAATTTTTCAAAAGTTTAAAAAAGTTTAAATATCAAGTTTTAATTTTTTAATTGTAAAATTTAATTTTTTAAGTTTAAATGTTACAATTTCATTGTATTGAACAAAAAGAATATTACCAAAATGTTAAATATGAATATCTTGTCATTTGAAAAGGTGGAAAGGGTTATATCTAACCTAAACCCACTCAAGTATGAGATACACCAGTTATGCACGGTCGGTTTGGATACATGGAATATCCCTTGGGATATACAATACATCTTCCCTCGGTCCCTTCGGTCTCTCGGGAAGATATATTGTATATCCCTCGGGATATTCCCTGTATCCAAAACCTCCCAGTGCATAACCCCTATATATCTGACACCCTCTGCAGGTGCTTGTGTGACATACGTGCGTCAATCCCAAATACATATTGTAGCAGCAAATTGGAATCTGTTCAAATAAAACGAGAGCGATAGCGATGTATGGGTCTGGTCTACTGCACGCTGATTGGTCAACAGTGATCAGTGAAGTCAGGGTCAAGTGAGGTCACCTGCTTGACCACTGAGAACATTAAATTTAGAGAAAATCGGGACAAACTGAGCATGGCATAAGTAAACTGAACAATATTGCAAAATATTATACAGGATTTAAAAGCCGAAACTGTTTGGAAAGTTCCTAAATTTAGTGTAATTAAAATCTTGACCGGAAGTTAAAAATCCAGTGTCCTTGACCTGACCGGAAGATGACAACAACAAGATAGGTCCAACAATATAATGCAGCAAACTCTTTGTCAAGATCTGCTTGGAGAAAAAAGTTGCCTAGCCCTGATACCCCGGCCTGATACCATCGTGTAAGGCACTGAACGATACCATATGGTTGTTTGTTTTGTTGTTGGTTAGGTAGCACGCCTGTGATGTCACAAACGATTGACAAGAATTTAAACCCTGCTTCAGTAAACTTAATTTCTTATTTTCAAGGACAATTTGGATACTTTTAAGGTCTCATGGAAGTTAACAGGAAGTGACAAAACAAAAAATGACAAGGCCATGCTGGATTTTGAAAATTTTTTGAACCAAGATAACAGAGTTCTGTTTGGACCTCCAGTCAGTTTAACTAGTTCCACATATCATTTACATGACCAGGAACACAGTTGAAATGGTCAGAATGACCATAAACATGATAGAATAACCTTTTCAGCCCTCTGAAAATGTGACTAAAAAATAGCTAAGAGTAGGTGCTCAGGAAAGGTCACTGAACAGAATATTTTGACTTTTTCAGAAAATGTGCCCAATATATTGCTCTAAATGATACAATTCAAAAAAATTTGATATCATTCTTAGAAAAAGAAAAAATTGAAAAAAACTGAATTGAAAATCGATCTATTTTCCTTTTTACTACAGCCATTATTGTTTCAGACGATTTTTTAAAATTTCAAAGATTGTGTCATTTAGAGCAATATATTGGACACATATTCTGAAAAAATCAAAAGATTCTGTTCATTGACCTTTCCTGAGCACCTACTTTTAGCTATTTTTCAGTCACATTTTCAGAGGGCTAAAAAGGTTATTTTATCATGTTTATGGTCATTCTGACCATTTCAATTGTGTTCCTGGTCATGTAAATGATATTTGTAACTAGTTAAACTGACTGGAGGTCCAAACAGAACTCTGTTATCTTGGTTCAAAAAAATTTCAAAATCCAGCATGGCTTTGTCATTTTTTGTTTTGTCATTTCCTGTTAACTTCCATGAGACCTTAATTCGGGTAGGCCTAAGTCCCAAGTATGTTAGCTTTTTTTGTTATGACAACATAATCTCAAAGATAGTCCATAAATTAATTTAGGAATGTGTTTTTGATCCAACCACCCCTATGAAAAAATAAAAGCGCCCGCTTGGGTCGCCTGCCCACCTGTAAAATACAGGTAACTCTTAGATCTAGAGTCCATTTCACTGCTTCATTTCGTCAGTAGAACGGCAAAAATAAGAAATTGGGAGACCATTGTGCAATAATATATGGAAAAGTATATTCATAATGTACATGAATGACATTTGTATATTACAGATTTTTTAGTTTTTTGTGCAATAAGCCTGTGCCGTCTTGTAATTTGAAGAATTTCAGCCATGTTAATCTTATTGAAAATAACATGGCAGAGAAACATCCAAATACAGAGCTGTCAAGTGTCCCGCGAATGGCGGGATTATCCCGCGAATTTGATCAAAATTTGGCTAATTCGCGTGTCCCGCAATGTCCCGCGAAGTCCCGCAAATGTCGGCTTTGACCTCCGCGAATTTTCAAAATTGTAACAATCCCCGAAGCTAAACCCTTCTCCGAATCCGAGCAGTTTTCCGAAACCCAGTTGTTCGAAAATAAGGGGATCTTATCTTAAAAATACAATTTCTTTAATTGGAATCACGTTAACATCATTGCAAAATTAGGCTAAATATGCTAAGTCAATACGTTAATTGTTTAATGTTTAGCCTACGAAAGTTCATGGGTAACTTGAGAACTAGAAAATACAACCAAATACTTTTCGAACGTACAATAGCAATATTTCTCACCTAACGTCTGCATAATTTTAGGAACGTATTTTAAACACATGATAGCCAAATATATCAAGATACTATATCTGCCTAATGTAGTTATGTAGTGTTCAAAAAGTTTTGAAACATATTTTATCTAGATCCTTCAGAAATTAACTTATCCAATAAATTACTGTACTAGCTCTAGTATCTTGCATGACTCGTTCATAAAATTCTTTAATTCTACCTCGTTCCCAATACGTCCTCAGACAGACAAGAAATTGAAATCACACCCGTTTGTTTGCGTGACAGAATATGCCACGCAAAAATACTTATACGCACTTTCTCTGATTATTGTCAAGCAAATACAGTTTAGGAGAAGAAAATAAAAAAACAAATGCCGGAAACGAAGGCCGAAAATCAAATTCCAAGTGATTAGGTTTAGAATGCTTTGTTCTTTCATGATTTGATAAGAGACAGAGACTAAGAAATTAAATGCGACGAAATATTTTGACAACGTAATATTGTATACTGTTTTATGTTTAAAGTTCTATGCGTTAACTTATTTTATCTGTTTCAAAATGTTTCATTTTATTTTGCCTATAAAAAGAGATTGAAGAAGTTAAGATAAACTGTTCCGTAATATATATTGTGTTTTAATAACCGCTTTAAGATCACAATGTAAAATAAATCCCCCGTTCCTGCCATTCTAGTAGCACCATGTAATGGGTGCAATTCTAAGTGAGAAAGAGAGAGAGATCTATAAACATCAGAATGCGTCCATCCCATTAATTTGGCCAAATACATGGCATGAAACTGGCGTAAGCTTAAGTTGGTACGTCCCCCTTTCTCTGGTAAATCATGACTATATTTTCGGAGTAATGGGTTTCGGACAACTGGGTTGGGTTTCGGACAACTGGGTTGACCCCTATCGGACCCCTATATGAAAAGGTACATTTTAATATATAACACAATGAGGGGTAAATGTTTCATAGTTGGTCACGAACGCCATAAGTGCAAAGAATTGTTCAGAATTTTAGAATTTTGTGTTGGATTACGGTACTCACAAGTGTGGTTTCTCTTAATAATAGTTCTATGCGTATTGTGTGGAATTGTGTTGACATTTACTTAAGTTAAGTGCATTACATGTGATAAATCAGTATCTGAAATTTTAATTTGAGTACTTTTACATTATGCCCCAATCACGCAAATCCTTTGAATGTCCTGCGACATCCCGCAAATTTAGGTGGATGTTTCGCCAATCCTGCAAATTTAGGGCACTTTGTCTAAAGAAATTGCCCCTCTGTGAAGTCTTAGGGTGGTTACCCTGTTAACTGTCCCGCAATTAGCGTGTTTGTCCCTCGAATGGTCCCGCGAAATCCCGCGAATTTGATCGAAATTCGACCTATTAGCGCAATCACGCAAATTCCTTAAATGTCCCGCAAAATCCCGCGAATTTAGGCTGATGTCCCGCAAAATCCAGCGAATTTTTGGCACTGGGTCTAAAAAATCTGTCCCGCCAGAAAATCTTTGGGGGTTGACAGTACTGCAAATATAAGAGGGCACACACTTTATAAGCCAAACTAGAAGCAATCCAAGATATACAAATGTCATTCATGTACATTATGAATATACTTTTCCATATATTATTGCACAATGGTCTCCCAATTTCTTATATTCGCCATTCTACTGACGCAATGAAGCAGTGAAATGGACTCTAGATCTAGTTAGAAAATTTAATCTCACCTTAGTTATTTCAAAGCGATCGCCACACGGGCAGGGATAATAATAGGTTTCGGTGTCTTCGTCGTATTCAAAGTCTTCAATTTCAACCTCATCGTGATAAACAGACATATTTCATGATATAATGTAAATTCTCAAAACTTCTCACGATTTTTAAAACCGGAAACGGAAATCAATTAGTATGTCATGACACACCACAAAAGGTATCACAACACTGAATATAGCAACTTCACAACCAGTTGCGATGAATATGATACTCATACTAATACAAACATCATGATTTAAGACAAATTGTATAGAATGTAAGCACACTACGTGTATATGATAACGCTGAGGCCCAATTCTTTCCGAGCGAAGAATGCAGTCATGTAGCCTACGGTATAGCTCCGCCAAAATTAGTAGCCGAGTACAAAAATTCTCCCATTTGTGCTTACCTGTTTATTATTAACTAAAAATGATCGTGACAAAACTAAAGTGGAACTGAGTAACCATGTTGTAGCTTTACTTTTGTCGCGCTTAACAAACGTTTAGGGCAAAGCCTCATTTTTATGATGTTTATTTGAAAATATAATTTGTCCCCTTTACCTTCAAATTGTTTGTTTACGAATGGTTTGAGAAATCAGCAGGGGCGGATCCAGGAACCAACAAGGGGGGGGGGGGCAATATTTTAGGTCAGAGAAAAAAACTTCCGTAAAATTTTATTTTGACCATCTATTTTCAATTTTGAGCTGGTGTAAGTTTTGTTTTCTCATCTTCAAAGCTCTTCGTTGATGATGCTTCAATGTACCTTTATCCTTCTAATTAACCACGCGGTACTAAATTCGACCGTTGATTCAATTTTTTGTTTGAAAAGAATTCAAGGTGTATCTTATCTTATTTGGTTCAGCGGGTGGGAATCCCTCATTTCATTTCATCATACGGCCGAACCAAAACCGACCGACTGTCAATTTAACATTTTACTTACGAAAACGCCATTAAAATTCCTTTGGATTAATATAAAATCACGCCCGCTGATCGTACAAAATGGATAGAATGGGGGGATTAGGCGATTTCTGCAAGAAAACTCAACAAATTTGGAAGATTTATTTTTTCAAGAGAAAATTTACAACTGAATTGCCAAATGAATAGGCGCAGTGCATGACAAAATACGTTAGGTCATCTAGTATTTTTTTGAACTGATACCCTTCTAAGATATGAAACTAACTTTAAAAGTGAGCTATGTCATTAGTATTGTAATAATAACGTCCCATATACCTATTCATTACAGGTCGTGTATACCATTGTTGCCCGATTTATAGCAAAAACATTGACGTTTGCACGTTGGTGATGATGCGCCTTTTTAAATAGATCTCATATCTTAGAAGCATCAGTTCAAAAAGAAGACGAAGCTCTCTTTCAAGAAGTCGTGAAGTCAAACGAATGCAAAGGGTACACTAGAGGCAATCTGCGCGAGATTCCATTTTTTGGTTCGGTTTTTGGCGCATGCGCTTCAAATCCAGCAATTTAATTGGTTCAAATTATTTTAACGCATGCGCAATCACTAACTTATAAGAACATTTAATTTGAGATAGATGCCACTTACGTTCATTATTTCACAGCAGTCCCTACCCATGATGCACCAGATAGTGCGGGAATATTTTTGTTTAGTGTCAAAATAAAAAGTATACACCCAAAACAAATGTAATGACATAATATCAACCTGCCCCGGATTTGTAGACGTGTGTTGTACAAACTTAAACCGAACCGATGGCAGAAAAGCACTTTGAATCATGGGAATGAAGTACTTCCTTTAATGAAAAACCGAACCAAGTAAAAACCGAATCTCGCGCAGATTGCCCCGACTCAAAGGGTAGAATAAGATAATTTATCCCATACTTGGACGTGTTACGGGTACATAAAACCGGTTTGTAAAAACTTATATTTTCATCAGCGGGCAGATATAGCTTTACGTCCCGCTCCGAGCGGGCAGATATAGTATATCTGCCCGCAACGTCATATTCGCGGCTCGCATGTTTGTTCATAATTTGTAACGTTTGCGTAATGACTGTAAACGACAATGGAGAAAACACGGGCAATCGGGATCTGTTTGATGGTTTAAAAAAAGGGAAAGTGCATCCACCTAATCAATCAAAAAATCGAGAAAATAAATGTGGGAATATTTGAGAGAACAGGAAAATCCGCCCACGGCCAAGAAAACAAAACTGGACATGAATATTCTAAAATATTTCCACGATTGAACAATGTGAACCAGATGACCAAGATTGGTATGGGATAAACATATTATCCTATAGTCGGTTCAGGATATTGGGATTATCCCTTGGCCAATATAATATATTTTCCCTCGGGACCTGCGGCCCTCGGGCAAATATATTATATTAGCCTCGGGATAATCCCAATATCCTGAACCTCATATAGGATAATCTCTATATACTCGGATCATACTGGTGCTGCCATCTTTATATCCTCCCAAGATGTTTTTATATGATCTTTGTGCCATTTTAAAGGGGCCAAGAAAACGTGTCGATTTTTTGTCTTGTTGAATTTTGGATCTTTTACATATACTCTAGTAGCTCATGCTGGTTGAGTATGCACTTACGCATGTCCAGGGACTTTCTCTTCAAAAATCATCTAAGTCAAGGTCATTGATCAATTTTTGCTTGGTTTCATATTTGCCACTGAAGGCGAAATAGGTCAAATGTCCACGCCCTTTACTCCGGGAATAATTCCTCCCATTTTTGTATCTCCAGAACCGTTGGACAGAGGAGGTTGTGTGACCACTCAAAAATTCTATTAGATAAATCGTCCAGTGAAAGAGTTATCCGATGGGAATAACCGAGAGTGTAGAGCGGGTATGGGGGGGGGGGTCTTCAGCCCGGGCTTCAGCCACATAAATTGATTCTTGACTGATATGTCTACACTATACGTAAAGAATAACATATTCACAACATAACAACCCCATAACAACCCATGAAAAAATATGTCATACTTTAATCCATATCATGGGCTATATGCGGGCTTCATAGGCTTTCATGAGTTCACTTGAAATCCCAATCTAATGAATGAAATGACTCCATCTTTCAAGCTAACAGTACTAGTACTACATACAAAAATGAACACGCGTATTATTATGCAGCCAGGCATCCTTCTAAGCAGGAGTCCAGAATCCGTACCTCAATCCAGACCTTCTTTCCAAAATTGGAGCCCTGCATACGGAGGATGGTAACCAGGGGGCTCGGGGGTCTTTAAAAGCAAGTTGGTTAAGCATGATAAAAATTTGAAGTGTTGATGGGGATGGATGGGTTCGAGCTAGCTATGGCCATGTATCAAATGTGCTTCGGTAAAGTCAAAACATCCGTACTATTTCCAAATATTATGATTTGAAAAGTATAAATGCCATATTTCAATACTTTAATTGGCTGATTTAATTTCACACATGGTGGCATTTAATAATCTTATTTTGATAGTTAACAAAATATAATGAATAGAAATAAGAACCAAGCTATACATCAAAGATGTATTTATTTGGATCCTAAACAACAATAAAAAGTCATTAATTTACATTTCAATTACATAAATAAACAATTCATAAGAAGAGATTAATGAATAAGAATTAAGTTATTCAGATTGCTGTTTTAAGGAGTCCGCTATCGAGATACTAGACACCCCATGTCCAAAGCATAAAGTAGAATGTCCCCGGGAAGCAAACTTACATAGACTCTTTAACACTCTTTTCATAGAAATTAGAATTAATCATTTTGATCGAAATATTTGGTCACTTGATTAGCCCATGCTTGGTTAAGCCATTTCAACTGAACCCCAGGAACTGAATCATAAAATGTATTTGTTTCGACTTCTTTTTCTAATAAATAATAAGTCATTCAAAAATGCATAATTGTACTAGAAATTAGATACAGAATATGTGTTACGAACTGATATCGTTTGGAAATAAAGTTCTAAGTCACCGCCTGTTAAATGGCTTTGTCTCAGTTTGTCAATTATTTGGAAAACATTTCATACTTGAAAACAAATAAAAGTAAAAAGTCTTTCAAACTTATAAAATATTAACATATTTTTCATCTTTAAATCTATTGTAGCCCGAAACTATAAGCTCAATGGGGTCAAAATGCGAACGCTACATGAATACAAATGTCGTAAATGAATCACCTGTTTTAATTCACGCTGTCGCCAAGCAGTCGAATCGTCTGCTTTGAGTGCTAGTGTTTGGGCTAAGGGGTCCGTTTTTGACAGCTCTATTTCTGCATTCATAACTATTGAGTGAATTCAGTATATGTACAGTGATATTCGAATGAGCTTCTAAAAAACTTTCGAATCGAATTTTGATTGAAAAATTACGTCATGGGTACAACGGAATACTTTTAGCTTCGGAGTTATATTGCCCATTAGTATCAATCACTGCACATCGGAACAAATGAATTCAATAGGAGTTTAGATGCTGCAAATCAAAACGAATAATGACTTCTGAAACCGGGTTGGATTATATTATTGAAAATAAGGAGTTTATTAAAAAGTTGGCGACAGGTGAGTGAATATTCAAGATTACTTTTAAAAACTTTTAAATTGTTTCACTTCGCAGTAATACCATTGTTTCACATGTTAAAGATGTAGCTTAACTATATTTCATATTTAATGTGATTCATTTCGAATATATTGCATGATGTATTTTTCAAGCCCCAAGCTACCCTTGTCAAAACATTTTATGTGAATTACAATTTCAAAGTAAAATATACTTTTAAAACAAATTTATAATAGCTCAATAAGAGAAACAATCTGGGTAAGTAGAGATTTATCCCATATATCCAAATTCACTAGTAATATAATGCTACGTTTTTTATTCATATTGAGTATAAAACGACCATCAAATTTGACTCGAGTTTGACCTTAAAGTTTTAGAATGTACGTTAGCAGACAGACAGGTGAACAGAATAGGACGGACAAATTCGCCGGCCATATAAAATCACTTTATTAAGTACATTTTCAAGACATCCAAGAGTAGAATAGTAAAAAGGAATAGTGGTCAGATCGTAATTATAACAATAACACCATCTTGTAAACATTTAAATGCTAAATCAAAGTAGAACTTCAATTTTTGATTCGTTAATAATACTGAACTGAAGATTTTTAATATCAACTGAAATTGTCATTTCAACTCTAATGTCAAATAATTAACTCCAATAAACGTATACAAACGTTAACTAGCAGACTGGATAAATATCATTAATTGTCTCGTTATGGTAATTATATACTGTATATATTAATAATAACCGCATGTAAATATTTATAACATATATTTGATCGTGAATTCTATTAAGTGTTAAAAACAGATGTTGAGAATGTAATTATATATGTTACGTAATAATCAATCAAACAATTATGCTATTTTGATATGTACTTTTCATAGTGTGAACCCCATGTACCTATTTTATACGCGTAAATAACTAGGTCGGTTAAAAATATGTAATTAGTGCAGTGCAGTCAACCCAGGCGCTTTCGTTCAGTGCATAGTATGTTTACTCCTACCCTGGGGCCAAAAAAAACTAGGTGTAATTACTACCTTTAAGAAGTCAAACTTACTCACGGGTTTTTAAGGCGTTACTGACTTTTTTCTCAATGACAATGAGTGGTTTTCATTTCAAGGTAGGTTTATATCAAATTGTAAACAATCAAACTTAACCATCCCGAGAAGCCACAACTAAGTGTGTAGTCTAGCTACAAGCCCATATGACACAGTTGTCAGTTCAGTTCACTGTTGTGTAGATAGTCCAGGGTCTTGAATCAAGACTACTAAGTGTGAGACGACGTCTATTTCTCTTTACCAGTCATAGGATATCATGTGTCCATTTGTTGGTAGTCCCAGACAGGTGTCATATAATGGTATTCATTAATTGCTAAACGATCGTGATCTATCAAAAGGTTGCCATAGTACTTTGGAAAAGGTCTTGTTTATACCTTACTACCTGGTCACCTCTGGAGGAAGAGGGGTCGCAACCTTTGGCTTCATTGATATAGAGTTACCCTGAATGAGCATCGCATCAAAGGACACGCCTGACCACCCGAATAAGTCAATGAAATAAATGTTCAAATCTCCATAAATCATCCTATAACAAGTGATGGTGGATATTGGCTTTCTTTTCAATTTCATTGACGTGAAGACAAGTGTCAATGTACTGTTGTGATAGAATATAGGGTGTCTGACAAGGATCTCGACTGAAGCGCAATATTACGCAGATTCATTTCAAATCAAAACGATAACCCATATTCTGCCACTTGGCTAGGGAAATGTCATGGCTTCCAATGCTATCTATGCTATTGTTTTATTGCCTTCATCTTATTTTGATTAGCCAAGTTATCCCACTGGGAGTTCCGTGCTGTCAAATTATTAACCTCATCGTTCATCAATCTTCTCCAGATGTCTCTCTAACTTTATTACTATATTAATACACAAAAACATGGAACGTTAGTATTTCTAGGCCGAGTTATTCTTAATCTTATCTATTAGTGTTATTTACCCCCCCCCCCACACACACACGTACCCTTCCTACTTGAAATTGAGATGTGTGTGACAGTTGGGAATCATGAGACCTTGAAGCCCGATTAAGAGATGACTGTTTAGTTGACCAGATGCATATTGGGATAATTCATTCACCCGACAGTGTAAATGAGACGATATCTGGTAATTAAAAATCCTATTGAATATGCATCGTTTACACATAAACTGTGTCTCATCAGGGCTCGGGCGTGAGATATCATAATTGAGACACTATTAGTATGTGTACAGTGGGGTGACCAGGAAGAAAAAGAGAACATGTTCACTAAAATCTTTGACTCAATATTTATGATTAGTTAAAATAGGATAGCACGGGACCGGGATACAAGAGCCCGAGTTCTCTTGATATTTGGCAACTGGAAAATGTTTGACATTTGTGAATATGAGAAAGAACAACAATATTAGCAATTCACGTTATGAGTAGAAATAAGTTAGAGCGATGTACGTCAGAATGATACAGCGACAATGGGTTCTATGAACATAACTTTCTCTCAACCCATGCCTCTTCTGAGATGGTTCATTCTGGGGGGGGGGGGGGTTCTATGGGTTTATACTTTGGAGGATTTTGTTGCCTGGTTTGAATTGTTTGTATTCTTAATATTGTCCATTAATTAAAATACAAACAATACGTTACAAAAGTGCACACCTCATCTGTGTATATGTTTGTGTTTATAATTTAATATTGTGTATTTCTTTAAGATCATTGTGTTTCCGTTCGTCTTTTTGATGCATATGGTTGTATCAGAATCTGGAATATAATCGCTCCATGATATTATGTGTCTGTCCACATGTTGCGTGTTATCATAATTACATGCTAATCCTGGCTTAATCTGTTTGATAATCCTTCCATTCTTATCTTGACATGATACCACAAACTTGGAAGGTGTGAGAAAACTCAATATGCGATCATTCTGTCGGTAGGAAACGTAGAATAAGTAACTTGACTGAAGGTAATCACCAAGACACGACTCCCCATCGAATATCGCGTTAAAATGTTCAAAATAAAGTTCGCGTATGTATCATTTTATGGAAATTGAAAATGGCAATACATAAACAGACTTTTTGAAATGCATGGCCTTAGAGGAAAGTTAGAGTTGACTGGTAAATGTATCATGCTAATAACTTGATGCTTGTACCTGAATATAATGTCACTAGGAACTTCCTCATGTGGTCAAGGTGGTCAAAGCTTGTTCGAATTCTTTAAAGTGGTTTCTAATCCGGAGGAGGTTGTGTTTTCAGAAATCGCCAATTGTGATTTAGAATATAAAAATATTTCGATATGTTTTTCATAACGTGGTCAAGGCGTATTATTTATGGATTTCCGGAGTTTATTGTGATTTTCGATAGCAATGATGAATGTTGAAACTTCCTGTGGTCAAGTACTGTTTTAAGTTTGCTATTAATATTGGACTGAGCCTGTTGGTTTACCTCCTACCTCATTTAGTGACCGCATTCCCGCGTTGAACGCACATATCATGCAACGCGTTCTCATGATGTATTCCACTTTCAATGTCTTTTACATTTAGTGTTTGATCTTCGTGTATTTTTAGAGAATTATGATATTGACCTCATTCTTTTCTACAAATGTATTCAACGAACACTATTTGTTGTTATGATTTTGAAAAAAGTGGCCTCATAACTAATATAGGTGAGGTCACTCTCGTCATGTTTTGTCAAGAAGGCCAATCAAATGCCCTGCAATAAATCATAGATATCATACTTGTAAGTTGTAATACACCCATTTTTGTCAAAAATTAAATAAATAAAATCACGTATGATTTAGCGCTATTTGACTTTTTATATTTGACTACTTTGAGTACAGAGGTTAGATCCAGATGAAGCTTTCTTTTACGAAGCTATGTAATATTTTCACTTTTGTAGATTGTATAAAAAGCTTCTAAGATAATATCTAACTTCTGTATTTGTGTGTATATCTAATCACAGCGACAATGGAATAATATGTCTGTTAGTTATATAAATATATGGAAATTAAGGGCAATAAATTTCAGCATGGCCATCACCGATTCCAAATATGCCATATTTTGATAAAACAGTTACCCATTATTTTTACACACTGCGCTGCTGTTTATGGCCTAGTCACATAGCCCGGCCGATGTACGGCATCGGTAGAGCTCGGTGGATTTTTTTGGTGCCACCGAGCTCTCCTCATCGGAAGCAGTGCTCGGTGACGTGAACGGACTCCGTCCGGACATCTTCAGGTACTATACTTTCCAAGGCTCTGTCCCACATCGGCCGGAGCTCGGCCGGTGTCAGTTAAAAAAACCTCGTCCTCTGGTTGTCTCAGATGCACGGGACACCGACCGATACTCGGCCGTGCACCGGCCGACGTGTGTTCTGATGTGGTTACGATGGGGCTGCGATGAGGGAGCTCGGTGAGAGCCCGGTGAAATTTAACTCCGAAGTTAAAATTTCACCGAGCTGCCACCGATGCGGTTTTAAGCAACAAACGCCACGGATGTCCGGCCGGTGTCCGGTCGGTGTTCGGCCGAGTTCGGTGAAAATTGCATCGCTGGCTCATCGGAACCTCATCGGCCGGGCTATGTGACTAGGCCATTAGGAACCAGCGCTACCGTTTTGGAACACTCCATCGACACTCGCGGCCCAGGTTCCCCCGGACAGGTTCCCATGAGTCTAAACGATTCTTTTCTTTTATTCACCCCTTGACTGGCTTATAAGATCTTATGTAAAGTCAATTTCCTTTTGAAAATTGAATACTAAGTAAATATATAACACTAAAATAAAAAGTAAATACTAATGTCTTAGCAATATCAGAATCCAGAGATGTGCACTTCAACCCCGTGAACTAATGGAGAAATGGAAATGTTCACGTTCCATGGCACCATGTTGAGAATACGTAACCGGTTATCTTTAACAAGTACATTTTTACAATCCTTAGTGATATGTACTTTCTGAGAATAGTAGAGGATACTTGGCTTGTGACCCCCTTATCCCCGATCTCTGTTTAATCCTCACTGTTCACATTTTACTTCATTGATCTTACCCTGTTGATATGGTTACCAAACATGCACAATTCACCAAGAATACAATAAAGTACACTTGACACGTGACGAATACAATTTTATTATACAATACAGCTGTGACTGTACTATACGAACACAAATTCATCAAATGAAACGCAAAAGAACCGAACGTCCAACCTTTAAACTGAACTCCTCAAGATCGTTGTTTGGTTTCTATCTATTCACTCATTGCACATATACGAGGCTGTATTTGAGGTCCCGAAACCCGACTCCCCCGCCCACAAAGGCTCTGTTGTTTCACATATTTGCAAAAGGCTTTAAACAAGGGCTCAAATGTAGCACAAAGGCCAAAGAAATGCTAGAGTAAAAAGTCAATATAAAATCTTTATTTGCAGTAAGATTTGGGTAGAAAATTCAATAAACTATTTTCTTAGATAAGTGTAAACATTTCGCCTTTAACTTTTACTTTATGTTTATATATTCTAAAAATCCTGTGAACAGAAGAACACTCTTAAGTCCATAAGCTTCATGCTGGTGTAATTTGTTATTAATTAAGATATACTGGGCCTAATTAATGTATTTTGCAAATCCCAGCAGGTATTTTCAGAGTCAGAGTTATATTCGCAGGAGCCCTTTAAAGCAACTTTGCTGAAATGGGCTAAATTGTACTCGTATTTAAAAATCCAAAGCACATGCCTATTGTAGCAGTCAATGTTGCAGCTAAATGAATCGATATTAAAGTCAAACAGATGAGAAGGACAACCTGAAAAGAGAAACACCAAAATCAATCGAACGTCAAGTTGACTTCGATCCTCAAGAATCAGGCCAGTTTTTGGGGGATTCACTTCTCAAAGAATTCCAGAGGATCACATTTGACAACTTTGGCCCAAAAGCACTTGAAAATGCTGAGAATGGTGAAAGTTGAATTTGATTTTTGGTCCCCGAAACTCCCATGGAACTCATCAGTCGCTATGGAAAAGTTGGTTATCAAGTCCTTTAGTGGGTCGCTGTATATGGGTTGGTGCTAGTGCTTTATTCCCAAATGACTTATCATTCTTTACTTACGGCTTATGATACATCAGGAAGTCCCACACATCTCATCAAAGTGTCATCGTTTGAAAAAAGTATTTTACCGATTTAAAAGTTAGATAAAAACGTGAGCTGGTACATCCTATACCTGATGCATAGACATAATACACCATCCCCATCCTGTAACGTGTACTTATAAGATTGTTTATTTACGACACTTACAAAATGTTATTGCCATTTAAGTGATATATGGTGATATAAACTTCCCCTTCAACCCTAAGCTTTGTGGTGAAACACTTTTCGAAACTATTAGTGAAATCAAGGATGAAATAAATTAAAGTATAGTATATGCGAAATCCAGTATGACATATTCTGTTGACCTGAACTGTTCAAATATACTATGGTCTTGTGGTTTAAGATTGTGATGTGGAATACTTAATGGTGGATGGGGGGAGTATGAGACGTTGTTTTGTGCGTTGGATCTTATTTTGGGATGTTTAGGTTTATTTTTCCTTATGTCTCGTTGCCCATTTAGATGTCTTTCTTTTCCCTTTGATGTTTTGTAACCCTGTCCCCACTTTTAGCACAAGAACTTACATTTTTATTTGCGCTTCGAGTGTATTGACCACTTTCTTTAAAGTATACGTCTGGTGAATTGATTAATTAATTTCCTTATTCTCAGTACGAAACAGTTGGTAGGGATGTGGTGATTAGGGGGACGTTAAACACTAGATAGATTGAAGAAATATACTTTAAATATACTCCAATCATGCAATCGTTTAGAATCATGATGGAATTAATCATATTTTGATCTAATTCTAAGTTGAGCATTTCAGCCCACGCCAAAAAGTAGAAACATTTTTACGTCAAACACCTGAATATGTTCATCTCGTAGATGATGTTTTGGTAATCGTAGTTATGACTCATTCAGCATAAGAAAAACATACATCGTTTTTTCTTTTGATATCTTTAGAGGTATCAAAAGGCAAAGAAAATACTTCGGGTCAAAGAATCTTTAAATAATTTTATTCAGTAACTTGATCTTTTTGTAACATTTCAAATATTTTGAATACATTTTCTTTTTATATAAAGAACTCATACGCAATCATCATATGTGTTCAGAAAGACTGAGTTGCTACCTTCTATGGATAGGACACTTTTAATTTGAGATAACGCCTCTACCGACTAAAAAAATGTTTACTCTAACGATGTTTAAATTTGGGTCGTTTTAAGATTTCTGAGAAAAAAGTTACATCTTTAGATCACGAGATATTCAAGTTGTAACTCTCAGGACAAACTCTATCCTCTGTGTTTATATTATTAAATTTCTCCATATTGATCTCAATAGTGTCTCATTGAAGACTCATAAATGACATCACCAGGCCATCTGGGTAATATATACACCCAGCTTTTTATGACAGTTATTATACCTTGACGATACCTTTGATCTTAAGCGTGTTCAGTTACACATTCAATTTTGGTAAACACTAACTTGTAGCATGATTGTTTGTCTGTTATTGTTATTTTTGCCCATTGTACAGATGTTTTTTCAGTAGGTAGTATAGGTTATTGACCGATATACAACATTTTGTGCATTGTGACTTTCTATCAATCTTTCTTACACTGTTTGGTGTTACTCTTCAAAAATGTTACTTCTTATCGGAATGGCTCTTCTTTTACCTTTGCTAAGGTTTTTAGAACTACAGATTAAAATGGACCTCATACATAAAAATCTTGGTCACTTGCTTCTACTCGACGAGATGGACACCGCAAAGTGCATCTCTTTCAGATCCATCCCTTCCTCTAAATATTCAAAATCGTTATTTCTATTTCAGCTCTCGATACAGATGCAGTACCCGTGAAGAAACAAGTGTTCGAATTATTATCAGCGTTGTGCGTCTACTCTCCAGATGGCTACACGAGGGCATTGGACGCCCTTCAGCACTATAAGGTACAACACTAACTAACTCTACTCTTCTTATTACTTTGCTTGTTTGTTTGTATGTTTGTTTAATTGATTTTTTGTTTTTCTGAGTGTTTGTTTATTTTTTGAGATGGGGTTTAGCTTTTCTTAACATTTTCAAACAAAGTTTTAGTCTCGCTTTTTTTCAATCAAAAGAGCTCCACCATAAATTCTGGGTTTCTCTAGATATGATATTAATCTATGGGTACAAGAGGTAAAAAAGTTGATACAAGGCGAAAAATTCTATGGGTAAAAGCGATAAAGTAATAATAATTGGTACATGGTGAAGAATTCTGTGGGTGCAAGGGGTAAAGTAGTTGGTACATGGCGAAGAATTCTATGGGTACAAGAGGTAAAGTAGTTGCTGCAGGGTGAAGAATTATATGGGTATAAGAGGTAAAGTAGTTGCTGCAGGGTGAAGAATTCTATAGGTTCAAGAGGTAAAGTAGTTGCTACAGGGTGAAGAATTCTATGGCTTCAAGAGGTAAAGTAGTTGCTGCAGGGTGAAGAATTCTATGGGTTCAAGAGGTAAAGTAGTTGCTGCAGGGTGAAGAATTCTATAGGTTCAAGAGGTAAAGTAGTTGCTACAGGGTGAAGAATTCTATGGGTTCAAGAGGTAAAGTAGTTGCTGCAGGGTGAAGAGTTCTATAGGTTCAAGAGGTAAAGTAGTTGCTACATGATGAATAATTCTATGGGTATAAGGGGTAAAGTAGTTGCTACAGGGTGAAGAATTCTATGGGTACAAGAGGTAAAGTAGTTGCTGCAGGGTGAAGAATTCTATGGGTATAAGAGATAAAGTAGTTGCTACAGGGTAAAGAATTCTATGGGTATAAGGGGTAATGTAGTTGCTGCAGGGTGAAGAATTCTATGGGTATAAGAGGTAAAGTAGTTGCTACAGGGTGAAGAATTCTATGGGTACAAGAGGTATAGTAGTTGCTGCAGGGTGAAGAATTCTATAGGTTCAAGAGGTAAAGTAGTTGCTACAGGGTGAAGAATTCTATGGGTTCAAGAGGTAAAGTAGTTGCTGCAGGGTGAAGAATTATATGGGTATAAGAGGTAAAGTAGTTGCTACAGGGTGAAGAATTCTATGGGTATAAGAGGTAATGTAGTTGCTGCAGGGTGAAGAATTCTATGGGTATAAGAGGTAAAGTAGTTGCTACAGGGTGAAGAATTCTATGGGTACAAGAGGTAAAGTAGTTGCTGCAGGGTGAAGAATTCTATAGGTTCAAGAGGTAAAGTAGTTGCTACAGGGTGAAGAATTCTATGGGTTCAAGAGGTAAAGTAGTTGCTGCAGGGTGAAGAATTATATGGGTATAAGAGGTAAAGTAGTTGCTACAGGGTGAAGAATTCTATGGGTACAAGAGGTAAAGTAGTTGGTGCAGGATGAAGAATTCTATGGGTATAAGAGGTAATGTAGTTGATGCAGGATGAAGAATTCGGCCGGTCGATGACTCAATTTGGATTGACTCTTTTTTGCAGTTAACTAGGTTTCATGAGAAAAAACGCTTATTCTATTTATAATATAAAAGTACACTTTTTGATTTTAATGTATAATCTTTTTAGTTTATATTTTTGAATTTAACTGGTAAATGTAACCTTTGTATTCGGTTTCATCGACAATATTGACTTTTTAAAGTTTTGAGTGTTTGGTGAACTGTTGCCACTTTTAATATTTACTGAACATCAAAACTTTTTCGATGGTTCTTTCAAGTGCCACTAAAAATGAAACGCGTAGGGGTCTGTTGAAATGTTCCACTTCAAGTCAGGAGAATGTGACTGGGATTATGTCTGTCATGAAAAGCCATTCAAAAAGCCTTGTGTTGAGTCTTGAGGGATTTACAAAGGTACATAATTTGTTCACATGTTTTACGTAAAATTAGAAAGCACAAGCGGCAACGCGGAAATACAGAGACTTGCACATTGGTGCATTCCAATGTATGTCTCCTCATCAAGTTCACAATATCGCAACAGATTATAACCGACCTTGACCCGACCCTATTCTTAGGACCAATGGCTTCTTAAGCTAATTCTAGCGTATCGGGAAGCAGCTGCAAAACACAAAACACTTCCTCTTTCATTGAGAGTGTAAGCAGAGCTTTGCTAACCACAAAATAGAAAAGGAAACACTGCAATTCATATATATGAAATTTGCCAGACGCATCCTGAAACGTTTTTTGAGACATTTCAAGGTTGCTGCCAAAGTTTTTCTCAAGCAGATGTCTATTACACTATGTTGGCGACGTGGTAGAACGTCACCCTTTGTTTGGCGACGTATTGATGTCCAAATCATTAACTTCAGTTGATAGATGACCAGTTGGTGCTGACAGGACATAAAATGATACCCCTGAGGGCACAAGTGATGATACCAATATTAAATAATCGCATCTGATCTTATTAAATGGTTTTAGAGAAACACAATAACGTTTGTAATCCATCTCATTTTGAGGGGTGAATCATTGAATTAAAATTCATTAATTTTGTATTTCATTACTGCAATTACACCATGTATAGAATTGATTTGTAAAATTGAATTTAGAATTCAGATGACAGTTTTTAGTAATTACGAATGGCTAGACTGCTGACTGTAATATTATGTTGGTTGAACTCCACAGTAGCAATTTTAGATTGCATTCTGGCAGAATTGTGGATTTTGGTGTGCAATTTTGAATGTTCTTTTCTTGGAGTCTCTTGAATGAGTATTGTTTCCAAAGTTCTTCCTTTAAGTTAGTGTCTTTAAGTTTTCGAGTAAGAGTTCGTATAACGATGGTGCATTCTTTTTAGTGTCTTTAGGGGTTCTTTTCAGAAAGATGTTTTCTTTTCAGTTTCGATCGAATGAGTTGTCTTGTCACTGCTTTTAGTCCTTTTAGTTTTTGTTGACCAATTTGTTTTGTTAAGATTGATTTTTTAATGAGTATTTAAGTATTGTTGTGATGATGTAGATAAGCTAGAAATAGAAGACCTTGTTGTTTAGGCTGCCCTGATGAAAGAAGGATACTCCCTTAATCCAGGGCTCAATCAGAGGAGTTATTTTAGATCATGTAGTCCTTCGCTCAGAAGATCATAAAACTTGGAAGAAGGAGCAAATCAAAATAGTTATTATTGATCAGATCAAGTGCGATTTATTAGGACAAGGAAGACAAAAGTATCAGTCATAAATCATTAGATCGTATTGTATGCCATCCAAGTAATTATAACCCATGCATCTATGTTTTGATTGGATTTGGTGTTGCCAGTATCCTGGTGCGAGAGAGGGCTGATCACTATTGCCTATCCTTTTCATCAAAGATGACGAAGGAAGAAGGAAATATTTGCTTTTGATCAGAAAAAAGAAATACAAATGTGTTGAAAGTCATCAGTGTTAATTATAGCTCATGCATGGATTGGTTGAACTTTGGAAATCATTTAGTATGGCCATATCCGTGTCCTGGTGTTCTAGAAGGTGGTGTCTTATTGCACCTCCTTTTCTTCGATAGACCTTTTGGCGGAGCAGCAACTAAAGGTGTTTACGTGATGTAAAACCACAAGGCTCGTAAACCCAAAATTCAATTGTGCCAATATTAAAACGATGAACATGAATTAACATTATATTGGAAAGCTAACTAAGTCTATATTGTTAAACTTTAAAGGATGGTTGGAACATCCGGTATGCAGTGTATGCCAAATAAAAATGTTGTCGTACTTTTAGATCAAATATTCACATAAATATCAGTTATTTTGTGATTCTTTTTAACAAACAAAACGCACGGCGCATATAAAGTAACCACAATTGTAGGGCTTTTGTGTTATATTTCAATATCCATCATTTCTGTTTTATAGAGACTGTCTGGAACCCTTAGAAAAGTTACGCTCTCTTGGACCCAAGCCTTTCAAACGGGAAATAAAGAATAAAGTTGATACAAAACAATATTTCCTGTCACCATATTGGTATACAAAAATCTGCAATATGGTGCATTTTTTACAAAAAACTAACAATCATTCAGGGATTGTTTGTTGATGATGTGTTAATGTTAATCAACTATTTAAAATGCAAAATATTGTGAAGAATCAAAAGAAATACGAAAATTTAAATATAGGAAAGGGTGTCCATGCGGTCAGCCCCCGCCTCATATAGTAAATGTTTTTATGTATGGACTTTTCAATGTGTATCAAATGTCCGAAGATTGTTTCTAATCGAGTAGTTAATGTTGCCAAAAGAGAGTACGTTATTTGGTTATGTTAATTGAACATGATTCTTGGATTTGCCTTGCATTGTCTAGGATATTGGGGGTTTGACGTTCTTATTTCTGGCTTTGCATATATTTCAGTATAGGTCTCTCTCTCTCTGTTATACTATTTTTCTTGATTTTTCCTCTTTGGCACATGAGTTTACATATTCGGACATTTAACCATTATGTTCGCAAAGGTCATCCTACCAGAGCAACCTAAATGTTACATTATACAAAAAAATATACGCTTGCTGAGATTATTGTATTTGCCTAACACTAGAGAAACTGAAATTAGTAACTATTAATTTTCTAAAGTTAATTAATGAGCATCTGTTTGAAAAGATGTTGGAAGATATTTCCCTTGGTGATTCTATGATATATTCCTTGTCAAGTGGCTACAGATAGTGGGGATGTCCACATGTCGTCATAATATTTAAAATCTAAAAAGGAAGCCCCTGTGCCCTGAGTCAAAGAGGCTGATAACAATGATCTGGTTGATGGGGCAATCGGTTGTGTTGCTGATGAGATCGAAATGACCAGAGGTGTTTTTTATGATAGCCTTTCATATGAATCTGAATATGAGATAAATGAGTTTATATGAAGTTATGAAGAATTGAAATGAAATGAGATTATAACAGTAAACATAATCTGAAACTACGTAACAATGAATGGGAATCGGGACATAAGCACTTCCAACGCCATTTTCAAATGGGCATCACCTTTTCTCACACAACTTATACATATGAATTGTATTAATGATTTTCATTATATGTCCAGGGATTT